TGTTGTCAGGAACCACAGTATAGAAAAAGTACTAATTACGTCATGAACCACAGTATAGAAAAAGTGTATAATTAGTACTTTTTCTATACTGTGGTTCCTGACACTGTGTAATCTAATGGGAAATGGACAATAGCATTCAGCGGATTGGCATTCCTGTCACAGCATTATATGGATTCTTACTTGTGCTGCTGCAACAAAAATAAGTTCCTCCAACGATCTATTTATTCCGGGGAGCTTTCCCTCTTTACCGTGGTCTGCGACCCATACGTCGTAACCCTGGTAATACAAAATGTCATGAATTTTAATACTGATGATAATTATTATAATTATTATAAAAAATAAAAATGAAAATAAATTGAGCATTAAATGTGTTGTCATTGGAAGGATCTCTCAACAAATTTGCAACTTCAGTAAGAATTGCCAAAAACTTGCATTTCTTAATATAAAGGATAAAGTCACCCCTCACCCCAAACTCCTTATTTACTGCCTTACATGTATTCTTTTAGATAATAAATAAACTTCATTTACATTTACACACATTTCATGTTACGGGTGACGTCATAATTGCGATTTTGGGGCAAAAACTGAAAAATAGGTTTCTCTTCTTGTTTTACACCACGGACTTCAGTATCATCTGCATGCAAATATCATTTTATTTCAGACAACTATTTTGCAGAGGGCGTCCTTCTTATAAGACGTCTTAGTATAATAAGCTTGGAGACAGTACTCACCCCAAGTGTTGTGAATGTAATCTACTGTAGCGTTATCACGTTAGGACTCGTCAAAGTGTACTGTTACAGACTGTTTCGTCTAAGCATATCACTCGAAGTGGAAAGGTCTAAGATAATCCAGGCAAGATGGGCACAAAAAACTACGACCATAAACCGATTAGTATGCATTGGAGGTACGTACCTCCTTCACTAATTTCAAACCTCCAATATCTGCTAAATTTTCTGTCAGGGTTAACTTTCCATCCACCTACAAGGACCAAGAGAAAATAAATAAATAAATAAATAAACAAAAATTTATCTACAAATGAATCTAAATTAGAATCATTTTATTTCAATAATAATTGGATCTTGAATTCAGACAGGGTATTTTAATTTTACAAAATTGAAGACTACATACAGAAGAACATAAAGTTATTGTGTGTGGTGATGCAACGTAATTATTTGGATTTTAGTATTTCCCATAAACAAATGGAATAGAAATTAAGGTATTCACAAATTTTATATGACATCTAATTATATATTGAGATATTACTAAATTTGTTATAAAAATTATGTAAATCTGCGTTCACCAACCTGCATTCCGGACATTGTGTAAGTGGAATAGTAGTCAGTTACGCACGAAGCGTCTTTCTGAAATTGCGTCCAGGAGGCGTTTGACCACCAATTTTGCAACCTTCCATCTTTGTCATACCGCGATCCTTAAAACGATATAAATTAAATACAAAAATTAATTGTAATAGATAAGTAAAAAAAAGCAAGTTTAAATTGAAATGCCCACCACTAGTGGGCTGGATTTGGTCTTAAATTGCACTTTAAGACCAAATCCAGCCCACTAGTGCACTTAAGTCTTTTTCGCACCATGATCCTAAAACAGGATATAAAATATCTCAAAACATGATAACAAGTTAATAAAATACATGTATACAAATAAATAAGCAGTTGACCGTCGCAAAGTTCTTAAATATGAAAAGTCCACTAAGTGTTTTTTGGCCTGCTGATTGTAACTCTAGTACGTTGATCCAAGGAAACTCAGATAGAAGTTCGTGGATGCCAGCACGTTAAAAATAATTAAAATAAAATTTGAGATTTGAAAGCTAATTGGAATCAAAATTTAGAGTTAAAACAAGAATTACGATAATGTACACTACCATTGCTTAATAATACTGCAAGAGAGCAAACTAGTACAATGTAGTTCCAGTATGACAGGAATGGTAGTCCTAGGAATGGAAGTCCGGGGTCCCATATGATTAGTATGGGTAAGGATTAGTTGGGGTATTGGGATAAGTATATTGGACGAATGTAACCTGTGCAAAATAATGCCTTATGGGGAACGGACTACCGTTCCCAGCGGATTCCAGTCCTGTTACACCGGCTGCTTTTTGAGAACTAATTTGGTCTTACGTGGAAACTTTCTTAATCTATTCTAACGCTATTTCATGTAGCCTACATGTAGTGAGTGAACTTACCTCCGGTGTCGAAACCGTGCGTGATCTCGTGGCCTATCACGTGACCAATAGTGGCGTAGTTGGTATACCTGGGGGTATGAAGAGACAAATCAATCGTAACTCTATTACTCTTTACTTTAAAAATCCTCCATGTCCAGGTTTTTAAATCCAGCACAATTGTACTCGTATATTGTACATGCACTAGCAAGTCTTGCATTTTACCAGTCCCTTCTCTTTTAGAAACAGAACTACCGGTACATAATAGGCTACAATTATTATACAGCCCAGATACGATTTTTATCTAAGTTTTGCTTACTGTCAACCTAGCAAGTTAAAAAAAAGTAACCTTACAAATGTACGTACTTTGGAAACTGGCGATTAAAGAATGGCGGCTGCAAAATCCCGGCTAAGAATACTGAAATGTGAACATAATGAGATCAGAAACCAAGGCATCTTATGTGCTTGTTCTTGAAAATGAAGTGAATTTCTCAAGAATGGCAATAAAAAGTTTTCTGTTAACTGTTGCTTTCAATATATATGCTAACACTAAAGAGAACGTTACAATAAACATTGAGCGCGTTGTCATTAACAGACATTTGAGTAACTTTACTAAGAGCAAGGTTTGTTTATACAGAATGTTTAAAAATGAAACTATCTTGTGAGATATTCACCCTTAGGTAACAGATTTTCTAGTCATCAAATCTTTCCCTCTCTCTCTGTTTTTGTGTGTGTATGAATGTGTCTGTGTGTGCGTGTGTATGTATGAGTGTGTGAGAGAGACATAATAAAAGATGAAAACTAGTAGCCGAGGTTATAATAATAACGATAAGTAATTAAACGGTGTCTAAAGTCTTAACGTACTCCACACCAGGAATACATGCATCCGATGATTTAAAAATTACCCGAGAATGGCACATGTTCGCCGCAGTGTCAGCTTGGCACCTTGGTCTTTTTAAATCTCATTTAAGGCACTCAGGGCATTCGATCTTTGTTTTACAAAGTAAAAAAAAAAACCTGGAAGCGTCACAGTTTCCCCTTAATCAGTACGATATATGTTATCTAAAACTACTCAGAAAATTACGAATTTCCACATTAGAGATCTAAATTCCTTTATGAACAGCATGGCAATAAATCACGACATACTACGATAGGGCCTTCATCTCCGTTACGAAGGCGAATATAGCATTCGCGTCTCTAGGAAAAGTGACTAGTGCATGCATCTTATGCCCCTATTTCACACAGACCACGAATCCAACGAATGGCCATGAATTGACAAATTTCACGATTCGCGGTTGAATCGTAATCAGTTCGTGAAGTTCTTAACAGATTCGTATATATTCGTAGTCAGTTCTTGCACTTCTTGACCAACAGGAATGGGTGGCAAAAACTTTGATGCCCCTATTTCACAAAGACCACGAATCCCGCGAATCGCCAAGAATTGAAAATTTCAGGATTCGTGCTTGAATCGTAATCAATTCGTGAAGTTCTTAACAGATTCGTATATAATCGTAGTAAGTTCTTGCAATTCTTGATCAATCGGGAATTCGTGGCAAAATTTTTGAGCTGTTCATAGTTTTGGCCACGAACTCCCGATTCCAAAAAATCGTAGTGAATTTCCTGACAATATTCGTGCGATTCCAGCCGAATCCCACGAATATTCGTAACACTATCGCACCTGTATCGTAACCGAATCGTAGAGCGTGTCGAATTAGACCAAAAAATTGGCAAAATCTCACGATTCCAGTCGAATCCCACGAATATTCGTAATACTATCGTACCTGTATCGTAGATGAATCGTGAGCGTGTCGAAATAGACCAGAAAATTGGCAAAATCTCACGAATCCTCACGAATCCTAAAATTTGTCAATTCCTGGCGATTCGTGGGATCCGTGGTCTGTGTGAAATAGGGGCCTTACCCATTTCGTTATTAGTCCTGTCGTAGAAAGCATTGACCTGATGAGGTGGGAACTTCCATCTGAAACGAAATACAGAACTACATGTCTATGGTAATGAATCTATTACATATAAAAAAATTAAATTGGAAAGAGATCGAGTGATTCGTAAATTTGTAAATTCGTAATATACAAGAATTTGGAATGTCATCATCAGGATCGTGGCACTTGTTATAATATCATGCAGTTAACTACATGGTATATGCGTGCAAATACTAGATCTATGGCGCTGGCATAAGTGCCTGCCTTTACATTAACGATTGTTTACATTATTGCTCGAAAATGTTGACGAAGAACATTGACAAAGTGTGTATATAAAATATATATACGGGGGCTATCTTTATACATGGTGGAAAAGGCCATATATAAATGTGTATCTAAACGATTTAGCGTTACGAAAAACAGGTAGAACATGTATGACAAAAGACACATGAGGCTGCAGTTACAAAAGAAAACCTACAGCACAACTATAACATTACTCCATAATCTGCACTGTGCAACCTTCTTATTTAAACATATGCTAGATAAATATATTCACAACAGTCAATACAAAAATATATACCACCTACTCTTTTTTATCAACTGGTTTGGCGAGTTTTTCCCGTAACCTCTGTCGCTCCCACTCAGCAACGTTTTGTATGGTACTGAACAAACAATTCGAGCAGTTGATTTTCAGCTGGAAAAAAGAAAGGCTGGTGCACATAAACAAGACAATCGTTATTAAACATTTATCACCTTTCAAATCGCCAACAGCTGTAAAAGTCGAACAATTTTCAAAGCTTAATGGGGAATTGTTTTCACAATAACTGACCCAAAACTGACCCAATCACTGTTTTAACAGTCTTTTAATTATCATTAAAAAAAGTTATTTCATATCGATGGTAAATGGAATTCAAAGCGATTTATACTATTGAGATACTGTATATGTGTACATGTACCAGCTCCTTATCTGTCTTAAGCTGTCAAGGGACCATTCAGTGCATGCAACAGCGCAAATATGTCAGAATGATCGCACGTGGGCATGACTTACATTTTTGTATATGTCGTCCATGTGCGTATCGTTCAGCATGTAGTCTGGAAACCCAATCTTTTCATACTTCATGGCATCTAGCTGAAAATAAACGTTTTCGTTGTTTTATCATGCAGGATTTGTCTTCTGGGGGCTGCATCACAAAAAGTCTGATTTCTGGGCAAAGATCATCCTGCTAAAATTGCGATATTAGTCTGATAATCAAGAGCTACATACAAAGAAAAATTTATAATAGACCAATTGCTGAACGTGATTATTGTGTATGAATCTAATACAGTGTATGTTTGTGGACAAAAGCATATTACCTTTTGCTGAGCAGCTTGCCTGGTTGTTTCGTCCATGAATTGGACACTGTCTATGCGCTTCTTGAAGGCTCTCTTCATGTACTCTATCATATCAATGACCTATGAAAGTATTCTTCATATTTTACAAAAAAATATCTATTGATAAATATAAATCATAAATGACGTTATGACGTCAAATATTGCTGCCCAATATAATCGATAAAGTCAATATTTACTTTATTCTGTCGTATTCATTAGAGGAAGCCACTTTAGAAAACAAATTAACCACGAAAGACAGATCAAAGAAATTTGAAAAGAAAAAGGAAATTAAAAAAATAATAAAGGGGGCGTTATATCTTAAGAATAGTAGTATAAGTGTGGCACTGCTTATCTTACGGACCTCTTGTTTACTCTCTATTGAAAAATGCTCCCGAACAAATATGGCGGAAACGGCTTTCCACATTTGCTTGCCGACGACATTTTGGCATTGTTCCCATAGCTCCTTAGGTTTTTCCAGACCTACAAACATCAATCAAATCATAGAAAAATAACTGATATCAGATCACACTGATAGGAAATTTTGATCAACTGGACTTTTCATCAGCATCTGTCTGTCTGCCTTTTCAACAGGCACGTATTGAATCAACAAATTGATTAATTTGAGACTGAAAAGATAAAACCAAGTAATATTTCTTTTTGTCTTTCTGAAAGCTGGTTACTTGGGTACGATATATTCAACCGTGACCAAAGATTAAAATATTTTGGGCCAACAAAAATTTATCCGTGAGTAAAATATATAAAAAACGCTACAAGAGGAAGCAATTAAGCACAGCCACTTTTTAAGATGAAATCACAGAACTTTAACGTTCACGTTTAAATCTATATTAATCTACTTTCTATCAAATCTTTCTTTTTAAAGGTAAAACATCTTATTTTATTTGGAAATTAATCAACGGTTAGAGATAAGCGGAAATATAAAGACCTGAGACGACAACCGTGTATTCATCAACTGCCGTGCGGAATTCTTCCGATAAGAAGCGTGCGGTCTTTTGAAGTAGCGACCATATCGCATACTGGTTGAGAACACTGGAATGTGAGCATTTTAATGCTTAAAAGCATAAATATTAAAAGTTCAATACTTAATTAGATGGGACTTTATTAGATGTATTTATATGTATTTAAATTAACATTAACAAGCGGTTCTTGGGGAAGTATATACGTTTTATATATTAACGACATGGCGCTTGTCTGGTGTATACTAGGCTATTCCTGAAATTGATCACCTCTTTTCTGTATTATCTATTAACGCTGATACGTTCTTCATGTAATCCTTGTTAAAAACAAGAAGCGTGGTTGTGTTGGACGGATCATCTGTCCAGGTGGAGAGCAGGAGGGTCCAATTGACCTGAAAGATAAGATGAAACGTTACACTGGTCAGCATAAAAATAATAATAATAATAATAAAAATAATAATAATAATAAACGATAACGAAGATGAAACTGGACTGAAGTAGATTGTGATCTGGCCTTTAACAGAAACATGGAATCTACCTATATTTATATCTGTTTAAAACAGGAAGGTTCCCTGAGTTTGTGATCCTTTGTGTGCCAGATTGTGGAAATTTTGAAATAAATAACCTGGCCCATCTCGCGTCTGGAAGTCGGGGTAATATGGCAGTAGAATTTCAAGTAAACTAGAACAGACTCAAGAGTACCCTGCAGTAGCGTGATCTAAAGCCGGCAAAATATAAAAGAGTTGGTGAATTATATATAAATGTTGATCTCACCGAGGGTGTCAGCTCTGTCAGCTCTTCTACAGTGACTTTATTATAGGTGAGCACAGGGTTTCTTACTTCGTCGGCACCGCTGTCAAAAGATATCTGTAACGATAGACGCATGACATAAATATCACATCATAATAAGTATTTATAGACAATGCACATATCTATATGATTTAATTCTTTTGGAAATTATTATCGGTAAAACCTGTTCCGTGACAATGAAAAGTAGGTGAATTCATGTGAGAACGAAAACAAAAACAATAATATATATGATATAAATTGCAGCTGTTTATATGATTCTGCATTCATAATCAGTTTTGAACATTTGGCAAGTAGAACCGATGCCTAGAAAACAATTTCCAAAATACCAATACTCACCTCTGCCAACTTCTTCTCAAACCCAAACACCTCTTCTGAAAACACGGATGCGTTTTCTTGTGATGCGCCAATTAAGATCGCAGTCTTCTGAAGCAACTGCTTATACGCCTGGATATATTTACTTTCGGTTTCGTTTTCAAAATAAAAGTTCCGGTTCGGAAGACCTAATCCTCCTTGGCGTATCTTAATAAACAGATATAATTTTTTTATAAGTTATGACATTTGAGACTCCCATCACAGTTCAAATAACAGTAACTAATGAAGATATTATCCCCAAAAAATAACCAAAAAATAAAAGTGTGTACAAGTACACACCATTATACCTTATATATGAAATATTGATGAATATAGACCGAAGATAATACAGTAACAATATTCGTAAAAAGATCCAAAACCATACAATGGTTAATTATTAATTGCTCAATGCCACATGCTTCTAGAATATCTTACTTTCAAAATGTTCACGTTTGGCTCTTGGTCGTCGGCACGGACTTCCACCTCGAAGAGTTGGTTCGTCAGACCGGTGAAGCGTGTTTGTATCTGGACCATAGCCTCGGTGATGTCCCAGCTTGGCTCATGCCACGACCCTTTAGATAATAATGAATATTGCATTTTTCAAATCATTCGGCAATAGAACAATTTTACAAGTTTTCATTTGTACGGCGAAACAAACCTCTATATAATATATTATACAATATATTGTACGTTATTGATTTATGATGGGCTGAAGGTAACCAAAAAGTCAATACCAATTTTCGGAAAAAGTTTCTATGTAAAACCGGGCCCTTCGCTATTTGATATAATCATTTTCCGCTACACCAAGCTTAGAGGAAGGAGCTGCCAACGTGGTATCTCACAAATATCTGTGAGCAATTAATGAAGATGTAGTCAGGAATTCATTTTAGCAACACGCAATTACCCAAACAACAACACTGCATTTTACGATCAACGCATTGCTTTGGGGAGTGCGCTGCTTCGTTGTAATGCATACGACGTGCGCACTACGTACCCTGGCTTTCCTTAGATGTGACCTTCATCTATTTATAAATACTAAAATCCGTCACCTCTATGTAGCAGTTCAGTGGTGGTTACCTTCGCCTAGGGCTTTCCAACCCCCAATTTCCTGAATTTTGTCCAACATACACACACTGGACAAAAGAAGTGTCACCCCCTAACTCAGAGTAATAAAAGTAGGCAGATCTTGGGTACTTATAATGCCTGGTCTACTTATAATGTGACTAATGAGTATAAAACTGCTATACCATGGGATTGTATTGTTGGTCTTGTACATGTACAGCAAAAGTTATTCCTGTCTTCCTCCAATATGGCAAGATACAGGCAATTATCTAACGGCTATAGGTGCAAGTTATTAACCTGAAGAGGCGGGATATAAGCAATGTCAGAATATCGATAAAATTGAATTGTTCAGTCAAAACCGTGCAGAGGGTCTGGTCTCGGTATAGAAACACTAGATCAAGAGACAAATTGCCTCTGCTGGGTCGTCCAAGAAAAAATACTGGCCGTGAAGACCGACGACTGATTTTGATGTCGAGGCTGTCAAAGTTCGACACTGCTTGTCAGTTGACAACACAGTGGAACAATTTCACACATAAGAATGTGTCAGTGAAAATTGCTAGGCGTCGGTTACATGCTCAGAGAGTGTACAGCAGGGTAGCAAGACTGAAACCTCTTATATCGTTACAAAACAGGCAACGTAGAGTAAACTAGGGTCAACAGGATCTGGAACTGGACAGTTCATGACAATTGGTCCTATATATTTTTTCTGATGAGTGTCGCTTTGGTCTGGCCTCTGATGACAAACGGGTACTATGCTGGCAAACTGCTGGTAAAGCATTTGAACCACATGCACTGAATTTTCGAACACGGAGCAGCATATTCATCATGGTGTGGGGCTGCATCAGCATCCATGGCTTGGGCGAATTGATAGTGGTTAATGGAAACATGAATCACTAGAAATATATCGATGTTTTGGAGTCAGGCTTGCTACCATCTATTACTAAAATGTTTGGTGACAGGATTTATCCATTTGTTTACCAGGATGACAATGCTCCTTGTCACAGGCCCAGAGCAGTTGATGATTGGTTTGACCAACAGGACATTCGCAGGGTGATGTGGCCTGCCCAGAGTCCGGATGCAAACATAATAGAAAATGTGTTGAATGATATGTCAAAACTTTTTACAAATGCCCGTCTAACCAGCAAAAAAACTCTGTTATATTCAGTGTTTCATGCTTGGGCCAGCATAAGCCCTGAACGTATCAGACAATTATATGAAACCTTGCTTCGTAGACTGGCAACTATTATTAGGTCACGTGGCTATGCCACTAAGTACTTATTTTGGACTTGAAACTGCATATTTTGGTAGAATGTATATTTTGTTCTCATTTTGTGATTTTTTTGTGAATTTGGATGTTAATAAAATGATACCAGGAGCATATCATTCCACAGTCTTTTATCTCCCCCATAGTATTGGCTCAGTAGGGGTGACACTTCTTTTGTCCAGTGTGTGTAGGTTGAGGTCCTAGCTTATCTCTGCCCGCAGTGTCTATGCAGCTGAGGTAGAAGTTCTTCAGTTTTCGTTCAAAGGAAAGCGGCTGATTTCGTTGTACCGGTTTCTCGAGGAGCACTTTCAGTTTATTTTTTATTTCTATCAGCATTTTACTCATCAGAAACCACCTTGATGAATATTGACAGGAAATTAAAGAAACAGATATAAGTAAATAGCATGTTAGAAATAAATAAATAGATGTAAAATAAATAAATAAATAAATATATAAAAAGCGAGAAAGAAACGATCGAAGAAATTGACAAAAAGTAAATATACGAAAAGAAAACGACTGGGAATTTAAAAATCGCAAACTTAAATTCTGGAGCATATCGGGCGCAGACGACAAGCACGAAGACGGTGAGGGGCGGTATTTATATAATCCAGCCTTCATATTCATATGCTTTCGTGAGCGATGACATTTAAGTCTATGAATCCAATACTAACGTTAACAATTTTTCATAATAATATAGCATAGTAATAACTGCCTTTGGCACGAAAGACGCACCTTAATACACAGGGATCGGTTGAAATATTTAGATTTAACCTCAGATAGAAAAGTCTGGTCTATACTAAATCAGGATAACTTCGTTTGAGGAGCTAGGTCTTATACAGATGCCGTTTTTTCCATGACACTAAATGAACTTCTTGTCTTGGGTCAGAGATGACTGAAATTTCTATGTTAGGTATAGATCAGCTAGGGTCGTGAAATATTNTTTTTTTCATGACACTAAATGAACTTCTTGTCTTGGGTCAGAGATGACTGAAATTTCTATGTTAGGTATAGATCAGCTAGGGTCGTGAAATATTTTGTGGAGTAGGTTCCGTAAACTTTGATAGGAAGTTTGCGTTTACTTTGATAGTGTTCTTTCATAAGCAAATGCGTTTTTTCAGTGGGATCAATAAGATCCAAGAAAAAATTATTTTGCATTTTGTTTTTTGTTCTCAATAGGCACCAAGTCACTACTGCTGCTATAATGGACAATACCCAGAAACCCAATTCCTTAACAAACTAGTGCAGAATGACAAACGTCTGTGTAAAAGAGGAACTTAGTGATATTTCTTATGACAGCGTCTGCTCGTTTACCCGAGCATCTTGCAAGGGTTTTCTATGAATTTTTAAGTGTTTGGGAAAGGAAAATGCCTTCACGTCACTATGAGGGAGCCTGAATAGCTAAACGCAATTTTTGGTCTTAAAATTAACGCAAACTTTTGATTTACGTTTATGGTGTAACACCTCCAAGGCACCTTTAGTTGTAACGTACTAGTACCTTGATTGTGTAGGAGGACGAGGATTTTTCTTCATCCATCCCTCACAGGCAAAACGATATAAGTCCTCACATGGATCGACGGAGGTGTTAATGGAAGATAAGACGGCAGAGGCTGCCTGAAGACAGCCGAGGTCTGCACAAGTGGTGTCGTTAACCGCAGCTTTTGACCATGCTTTTGGTAGGATGTCAACTATGCCCAAAATTGAGAGCACAAATACGACTACAATGCCTACGATGATGAGTACACTTAGTATCAGAAGGGCTAAGAGACATTTCTCTTTTCCAGTCCACCCTTGCTTCTTTTTCTCGGTCTTCGACAGCTGAGTTTTGCTTGAAAAGTCCATGTCCATTTCAATGTCGGGTGAGGTGTCCGCCATCTTGACCCAGGTATCTAGTAATACGACGGCGTATTTCCCGTTCAAACTGTCTGCTATTTTAACATGAACATAATGAACATACCCCTGTGGTGATAACGCATGACTCGTCAATTCACTGCACGGCAGTTGATGACAAGTGCAAAGAATGCTTTTTATATTAGGTAAGTGGATCGTCGCTGTCCGCAGGTAGCATACAAATAGTTAAGCAACATTTTTTTTACGTTGGGCGGGTCAACATAGCCAAAATAATAGTGGGATTTTGACAGCTTGGGTAAATGTATTGCCTTGGAAGTATCAACACTTTTCCTTGTTTACTAAGGCACAACAATACCTATAAATGAAACTGACTTATAAAAACGAGAATTACTGGGGTACACATAGTAAAATGATATTTCGGCAATAACGGCTCCAAGGCATGACGTACGAATACCAGCTTCATATTCACTGTGGCGAATTAGCAAGACCTGCAATTTACTGGACAGAACAACAACTAAGAAATTTGTACATTTATTACCTCCAGATTCGAAAACTGTAATAGTGTCTTTTTTGGTCTAAAGCAAAATCAATTAAACAAACTACAACAAATCTAACAATATATGCAGCCAGGCTAGTTACGAAAATGAAATGAGATAGTCCGAAACACATCGAAAGCCCTTCGAGGCTGTCAGTAGGCCAGAGAATATTATTAAATGATAATGTAGTATTCATAAAACTGCCATAGAAAAGAAGGCGCAGTGCATTTGAAAACTTATTTAACCACAGCAGGAGGGTCCCATGTTCTACATCGTTTTCGGTTATTAACACACTAGTTTTACTGTTTTCTATCTTCACTCTTTTGAATTAATCTTAATCATAATAAGTAACTAAAAGAATAATAAATTTCAACTTTTTACTAGCAATGTGTAATATCCGCCTCTTAAATTATAAGGCGCACTGAGTTTTAAATGGAATGCGCCACGTTAGCATAATAATAATAGTAATAATAATGATAATAATAAATATATGAGGAGAGGTATAGAACAGGTTGCACTGAGGCTCTAACCCTTCGCAACATCGTCTCTGTTGTCCATAAATATCGATATTTTACAAAAATCATGAAATTTTACAAATTACAAAATGTGTATGGAACGTATGACTAAATTTCCACAAGAACTGGCTATATTATGTGTCCAATTTCAAAGGCCAGCCCCATTCTAGGCTATGCGTTCGTCTGGTTATATATGCATCCATGGTACCCTTTACCAGGGTGGCAGATTATATAGGGAAAAACGAAAAAATCCAGACCAAAATAACTGTCTATTTATCTAGAGACATATCTGTCGCCCTGGTAGAGGGTACATCTTTGGCCTACTTCAAGATATGCCTCTTTTTCAACAGCTCATTTAGAAACCAGTTCAGATTTTTTTCTTTGCAACAAATGACCTCTAAGGCTTCTTTAATGCAATCATTTTTTCGAATCAAAGATTAATTTTTTTTATCTTCGCAATGTCTCTCTTTTTTTCAATGGAAAAAACAAAAAATTGAAACTTTGACTTCTGTTGGTCTGAGTAAGTGCCTGTGGTGGTGTAGTCTCCCAGGTTTTGTTTGTTTTCACCACACATTACACTTATTTAGGGGGTTCATGTTGGATCCTGGGGGACACCTGAACGTCTCTGCAAACACCTGTAGCTGGGATAAAGCACCATTAGTCCTGGAATAAAAAAAGTAAAAGGAAAAAATTCTAAAGTAAATATTATTACTGAAAATGTCAACACTTATCTTTTACACACGTATCCAGTTTCAGAGGACGCCGGGAATTCACCCCTCTACAACTGTCTCTTACCAGCACTTGATTGTAAAGCACCTATTTTCTAGTGTTCTCTATAATTATGCAGATCATTTCCAAAATCCTTCACAGAGTTACTACCCATGTATCCGTTTTTTATTTTTTAATTTCCATTGTAGTACCGTTGGATTCCCGTCGTGACGGTAAAAAATCAGAAACTAAGAACTCGAAAACGGGATATACCCGATTTAGCAAAAATGGAATATAGCTGAGATATCAAGTAAATCAATTTGTTTGATTGAGCATAAACTTGACTGACAAAAGACTGGAAAGTGACGTGATAGCCCGCTTCCCATTCATCTGTACAGGTAAGCCTCGCCCAAGATTTCGACCCACTTACAGGTCAGGCTAACCGTAACTATGATAACTAATGGAGGGCTGAATTACTTTTACACGCGGACCCTCAGTTTTGTTACTACGGTGTGCACGCTTACCAGGCCCGTAGCCAGCAAATTTAAAAGGGGGGTTCTTTTTCTGAAAAAGTGGACCTTTTTCCATAAAAACTTCATGAACCTAGATCAAATATTACCCAGAGTGGACCTTTTTCCAGAAAAAGGGGCGGTTCTTTCGAACCCTCCGAACCCCCCTGGCTACGGGCCTGCTTACCTCACTTGGTGTGGAGAGTGTGGGCCTGTCAGTATCTGTCTCTTCAACATCTCAAGGCTTACGTGTCCACAGCTCTTCTACAGAATCAAATCGAATTTAACGGCTTTCAAAATGTTTTGTTTTGCAGTTTCACAATTTAGAATTACCACAAGTTAACAGAAGCAAACAACTGGTGATGAATTATTAAAGTGACTTCGGTCACATGACGATACTTACAAATAAGAAACGTAATATTTCAAATCCTGAAAATCACGTGTTTAATAGTAAAATTCAATAAATAAAAACATGTTTTGCTGTTATACATGAAAAACATTTGCAATCTATAAAAAGAAAGAATGACCAATGTTTTAGATCGATAATTTCTTTATACTAGAGGACTACAATTATTTTTAATTGGAAGTAGACTAAAAATTTCAGACTTTGTGTTATGACAAGTTTTTGGCTTAGTTTAGTGGACCTTGTCCTTTAGTGGACGCATTCTTACTTGAGCTGCTGCAATAAGAGTGAGTTCTTCCACTGATCTCTTGGTTCCTGGGAGAGTGCCCTCTTTACTGTGGTCGGCGACCCATAACTCGTATCCCTGGATGCACAAAATATCATAATGTAAACGTTTGATGTTAGCAATAAATAAATTTTTAAAATTTAAATATTAAAATAGTAATATTGTGATGATAATAATAATAATACTAACAATAAGTATAATCAGTAAACCACGACAACTACTACGCGAAGGACATCTTTCTTGTTTGGATAAATATCTTTGTAGAGATAGTACCCTCCCACCCCGGGCGCTCAAACAAACAAACAAACAAACATATTAACTTAGCAGAACAATTTGAACTGGTGTGACAGGAATGGTAGTCCGTCAGGAACCGTTGTCCGTTCCCCATCACTTTGTACAGGTGTTATTCGCTCCAATATACCATTACTAACCCCAATACTCTAACCCTAGCTTGTACTTATCATATGGGACACCCGACTTCCATTCCTAGGACTGCCATTCCTGCCACACCTGTGCAAGCTGATCCACTTATAAGTATATCGCACGACGGGAAAAAAATTAAATAATACAGTGCAATAGGTAACATCGACTGGGCTGGGCACATTACAACCATGAAATGATGAATTTGTATTGGGCATACGTGCCTCTTTCACTAATTTCAAACCTCCAATATCTGCCATATTTTCTGTTAGGGTTAACTGTCCATTCACCTATATGGAACAAGAGAAAAATAAATAACTTAATGAAAGGTGATAAATTTCAATGAGAATAATTGCTTTTCATTTCATAAATATCCTAAGAACAAAAGATGACATAAAATAGTAATCCTGACAAACAAACATCATAATTCCATTTGGTGCCACATCGTTACTCTTGGGATACTTGTACTTCATATAAATAAATAAATAAATAAATAAATAAATAAATAAATAACAAAACAGCTATTTACATACTGTCTACAAATTCATTATTTAAAACATACACTTGCACAAGACTTGAAATTGCAGTGATTGCACCAAACAAGTTTACTGACCTGCATCCCGGACAATTTGTAAGTAGAATAGTAGTCAGCGACGCACGAGGCGTCTGTCTGAAACTGCGTCCAGGAGGCGTTTGACCACCAATTTTCCAGCTTTCCGTCTTTGTCATACCGCGATCCTTAAAAATTATATTAAATAACTACTAAGATTATAACAAATAAACTTTAAAGAAACAAATGAATAAATATGCATAGGATCAAAGTTTTAAAGTTGAAATGTTTATTTAAGTACATTTTTGCAAAAAGCAATTTTACCCAAAACGTGATCTACCATATCGTTATTATAACGTTACCATAACATTAATTTTACCTAAAAACGGTATGGTCACGTTAAGGTAACGTTATAAAACGTTCTGTGTTTGCCGGGCAATTGCAACAAATGTCCTAGTCCTGCCAAGGAACTTTCTAATCGAATATAATAACATATTTCAATCACAACTAGCTTAAGTGAACATACCACCGGTGTCGAAACCGTGCGTGATCTCATGGCCTATCACGTGACCGATAGTGGCGTAGTTAATGTACCTGGATGTGTGACATGTAAAACAAGGTTTAACCTATTCTGCAATTTAGACACTGTATTTCCTGGTTTTGAAATCTAGCACATTCGTAATTTAATTTAGGCTTACATTATACTTTTTCAATAACACAAATTCATTCTACAGTTACAACTGTAGTACTGTTCTTGCTTTATTAGTTTAAATTAATGGCACTCACGTTATCGGAAAAGTAAGCATAAAATATAAAAATGCACATACTTTGGGTAATGGATATTAAAAAATGGCGGCTGCAAAATCCCGGCTAAGAATACTGAAATATGTAAACTATGACTTCAGAAACCAAAGGATATAATGTGCCTGTTCTTGAAAATAAAGAGACTTTCACGAAAATAAACAGTTTTCTTAAAACGATAGCGTAAATGCTCAAAACATTTTCAGAAACAGACAACTTGATTAAGCAACTCCACTTAGCGCAGCTAGAAGGTATGTTTATGAGTTCGAAAAAAAAAGTAATGAAATGCCATCCCAGTTTTTAATTCTAATGTTGCATTTTTGTAGTCATGACAATTAACCACCTTTCTATATTTACCAAAGTGACTAAACTGTAAGAAATTTAGTATTAAATAAAAAGATTAATAAATTAATAAAAAGATTTATAAATCAAGGATTTTTACTGTAGGTTCAAATGTTTTATACATGTATACAGCATTTACATGCCTGGGTGATAAACTTTATTTAAAGTGGGTAAAGCATGTTAAGTGCATACACTTATCTTACACATGGCCCTAAAAAAAGGGGGGGGTTGATATTTCCATTAAAAATGCCATACAAAGTTATTGCCATACAAAGTTGTAAAGTTTGCGTGTCTTAAAAATAAACAGATGCATGTATCTTACTCATCTCGTTGTTAGTTCGGTCGTAGAAAGCGTTGACTTGATGGGGTGGGAACTTCCATCTGAAACGAAATATAAAAATCATCTATAGCCTTTGAGAATCTACTGCAAATGTGGAATTTCAAGTTGAAAACAGACTGAGTGTCAGCTATGCAGTAAATTAATAAAGCTATTAAACAAAAACAAATGCCTTAAATTGCTTTCTGCAATCTTAGTCGAATCTGTGTAGATTCTAACAATTTTATGCGACTAAAATATTTGCAGTAAAACTGAAACATTGATTACATACTCCTTTTTATCAACTGGTTTGGACAGTTTTTCCCGTAACCTCTGTCGCTCCCACTCAGCAACGTTTTGTATGGTACTGAACAAACAATTCGAGCAGTTGATTTTCAGCTGGAAAAGGGAAAGGCAAGTACACATGCAACTGTGTGATGTTTTAGGGCATATGTAGTATTCCCATTAAAATTTACAACTTGCAGCATCTGTAAAACTCACGTTACCAGTATTATAGATATTCTATATCAATTATCAATCGCTCTCGAATATCTAGTTTGAAATTAAGAGTGCTGACTGATGAATGCTCACTGACTAAAAACAACGAAAATTTCATTTCCATCCGCGATGAAAAGTGTTAACATAATCTAAAAGCCCAAAACGATTTATACAATTTAGAGTGTTAGCTGTTTGTCTGCCATAGGCATTCACATGTCCGCTGAAGTCAAGTCCGTGCATGCGCATGCGCGAGTGTTTTAAAGGAGAGAAAAAAAAAACAGCATGCCTTACGTTTCTGTGTATGTTGTCCATGTGCGTATCATTGAGCATGTAGTTTGGAAACCCAATCTTTTCATACTTCATGGCATCAAGCTGAAAATGTACATTTCCGTTTTTTTATTTCAGTTCACTGCTGGAGGGTTGATCCACGAAAATTCTGATATTTTGGGCCCTGCCAACACTGCTATATTGGATCTGCGCAAAGTCGACTTTGCAAGATAAATCTAAGAGTTTTTTTTAGAATGTTTGCCCCAGTAAATGTATATCACACACTTTAATGAGCTACAGTTCACTAATTTCAGTAAAAATCTTCGTCTTTACAAACACAGCTTGCTCGTGAGACTTATAGTGAAATTACCGGGAAGGTGGAGGAAGGTGATCTTTAAGATCTCTAGTGGAAGGCCGTGTCGTCGACTCAGTCTTACTAGAGTAAGATTTTGGTAAATAATAATTTCTTTACTAGTGTCCAGTAAGTTCTTGCTTGTTTTCATCACATAAAATTATTTATTTAGGCAATTATTTTTAAACATCTTTATTCTCAAGAGGGTTAAATATTGATACAGTATAAATAAAGGTGGCAATTCGCCTAGGCATTATATGCTCACCTTTGAAATTTAATAATAATAATAATAATAATAATAATAATATTCAAATATATTTAGGCAATATTTATAAGTATGGAGAAATTTGATAAAAAACTCAAATTCTGCTGAACTTCATACATGTAATTACCCTGTATATAAGAATCTAACATATTTGTCCACAAAGAGCAGAGCAAATTACCTTTTGATGTGCAGCTTTCCTGGTTGATTCGTCCATGAATTTGACACTGTCAATCCGCATCTTGAAGGCTCTCTTCATGTACTTTATCATATCAATGACCTGAAATTAATATTGTTCAAAGTTTTTACGCTGTTTACTTATTAATATGAATAATAAGTGAAGTTATGACGTCGAAAGTTGGTACCCAGTAAAATCGATTAAGTCTACCTTTAATTTAGTTCGCAGCATTTAACAATTCATTAGGAAACCACTATGGAAAACAAATACTGAAAGAAAGACAAAAATATTAATAAATAAAAAAAAGGAGAAAAAAGAATGAAACTATATTCAGAAAAGTGGTAGATTTACAAGCGCTACATATTTAATTATCGAACCTCTTCTTTACTCTCTCTTGGAAAATGCTCCCTAACAAACATGGCGGAGACAGCTTTCCACATTTGCTTGCCGACGACATCTTGGCATTGTTCCCATAGCTCCTTAGGTTTTTCCAGACCTACAAATATTAATCACTTAATGTGGTGAAAAATAAAATCACTGCACATAAATTTTTCCTTATTCGTGAGTAAAATTAAAAAAGACTACCAGGGAAATCAATTAAAAAACAAAATTCCTATTTTAAAATAAAATTAAAGAACTTGCATACATATTTATATCAACATTGATTTACAATGTGTCAAATCCGCCATTTTCAATGCATTGATTATATTCTATTTTAAGGTATTGAGATATAAACCGAGTGTTAGAGATAAGCGGAAAGGAAGAGACCTGTTACGGCGACAGTGTATTCGTCAACTGCTGCCCGGAATTCTCTCGACAAGTAGCTGGCTGTCTTCCGAAGCAGCGTCCATACTACGTACTGGTTAAGGACACTGGAATGTATATTCTATTTATTAATCACGTAGAGTAATGGTTTATAACTTCATCATATGTAAGATCCTTTGGAGGGAATTAAAGACACTTAAAGGAAATGCGAAAACTCCAGGTTAAAAGCCACAGCAGAATATATTATAATAATTGCATCTGTGTTTTTGTATTTATATTTTGTGCCAAATTACACTTTCCGTATAAAGGGAAAGCAGTTGTTGGGGCGGTAAATATGAATTACATAACGCTTGTCTGGGATAAACTAAGCTGTTGCTGAAATTGATCACCTTTTCTCAGTGTTATCTATCAACGCTGATACGTTCTTCATGTAATCCTTATTAAAAACAAGGAGCGTGGTTGTGTTGGACAGGTCATCTTTCCAAATGGAGAGTAGCAGGGTCCAGTTGATCTGGATGATAAAGAGAAACCTTATATTGGACAATAAATAAATTAATAAATAAATAAAATAAAAAAATAAAATAAAAAAAAAGAAAAAAAAGAAAAAGACAAAGACGAAATTTACCTTATTGAAAATTTTCAGTCACCTTCATCATTAATCATTTTGAAAGCATCCAAAATGCAATTCCTATACCGTAATAAATAAATGAATAAATAAATACATAATTTAACGATCTGCTATGAACCTCCATATGTTATTCAATGACTTTGGTGTACCCCGAATTTTAGATGGGAGATGGACCAAATTCTTCATTCTAACATTTCCACAATTGGATCGTATTCACATTGGATCGGAAACATGCCTTTGTGTTTAAACAAATAGAAGCCATGTTTAAACATTAAAACCTCACAGGGGTACACCAAAGTCGAAGAACTGAAAGCAAACTAGGGCAGGAAAACTTACTTTGCAATAGCGTGATGTAGCCCGGTGTGACAGGAATGGTAGTAATAGGAATGGTAGTCCAGGGTCCCATATGGCTAGTACAGGTAAGGGTTAGTCGGAGTATTGAGGTTGGTATATGGGACAAATTACCACTGTAATGGGGAACGGACTACGGTTTCTGACGCACAACCATTCCTGTTACAATGTCAAATAATTAAAAGGTGATTCCTGAATGTTCATCTTACCGACGGTGTCAGTTCTATCAACTCTTCTACAGTGACTTTATTATAGGTAAGCACAGGGTTTCTTACTTCTTTAGCACCGCTGTCAAAAGTGATCTGTAAATATAGACGCATTACATAAACATGATATCATAACAAGAATTTCGTATCAATTAATACAAAATCAATGATTTTTTGCCCTATGCGGCATGATTACCAGTATGTCAGTTGACACAAATATGCTATAAATTTCTTTGTAAAATACTGAAACAATTATCAGTTGGTTCTACGGTTTCGTTACAATGCAAAGTAGGTTAATTAACGAAAAAAGGTCATCAAAGCATTTGATTTAAACTATAGCCGTTTGAAATTCTGGTGTGATCTTTCATTTAGAAATTTAAAGGCCAAATTTTAGAGATTACTTTCGAACATTTGGCAAGTAAAGCAGATGCATAGAAAAATTTTTTTACAAGTACCCACCTCCGCCAACTTCTTCTCAAACCCAAACACCTCCTCTGTGAACACGGATGCATTTTCCCGTGATACGCCCATTGAGATGGCAGTCGTCTGAAGAAACTGCTTATACGCCCTGATGTATTTACTTTCGGTTTCGTTTTCAAAATAAAATTTCCGATTCGGAAGACCTAATCCCCCTTGGCGTATCTTAAAAAATAAATATTATTTTGTGTAATTATGTATGAAATTCGAGACTACAGTCAACGTTTAAACAACACCATAGAAATAAACTTGATCCTATCAAAACTTTGCACATTATTGAGGGGCCTACTAGGTTCCTTTACATATGACGTATTGTTAAATGTACATGTAGCGTGTGAATGCTCAAATTAGTATACTTAAAAATTCGTAACAGTACCAAAATCATGCAGTTTCCTTAATTACGCAATGTTGCGGGCTTCTAGAATATCTTACTTTCAGAATGTTCACGTTTGGCTCTTGGTCGTCGGCACGGACTTCCACCTCGAAGAGTTGGTTCGTCAGACCGGTGAAGCGTGTTTGTACCTGGACCATAGCCTCGGTGGTGTCCCAGCTTGGCTCATGCCACGACCCTTTAGATAATAATGAATACTCAAATTCAAAATCTGTTCATTCAGCAATACCACGGTTTTACAAAATGCTACTTTGCCCCATCACTTGTATAACAAAACAAATAATAATGTATGAATAAGATACCATTTTGTTTTTCAAGTCTACTTTGACAAAAAAGTACCCCAAATAAAAGAAAAGGGACAAGTACTTTGGACGCGAAAATAAGACCAATTTCCGACATAAATTTATTTTGCGCAACTGAGCCCTGTGAGTCCTACATCAAGCTTAAAGCAAGGTGTAAATGACACAATGAGATAATTCACAAATATCCATGAGCAATCCATAAATTTGTTGTCAGTAGTTCATTTTAACAACAAATAATTACTCAAACACTTAGGCTCTATTCCCATAGATTTTAGATCGATCTATCCCCGCGGGGAGTCTCACTAAATTACTTTCAGATAATCCCACTTAAATGTCCGTCCCGCCTACTACAAGCTGTAAGGGGGTAATTAACTTTCGTGTCCGCCCGGCTGACAGCTATTTAGCGTGAACCCCCAGGGAGTTAGGTCGATCTAAAGTAGGTCGATCTAATCTATGGAAATGGGGTGTTACACTCCATTTCACGATCCACGTATTGCTTGGCGAGTATGTTATTATACGCATAAGACAACCCACTGTAATATATGGTTGTTCTAACAGCTAATTACCCTTTCCACTTTTATGAAACCAGAAGCCACTGCATGTATGTATTAAGTAATGTAATATGTATACCTTCGCCCAGGGCATTCCAACCCCCAATTTCCTGAATTATGTCCAACATAGGTTGAGGTCCTAGCTTATCTCTGCCCGCAGTGTCAGTGCAGCTGAGGTAGAAGTCCTTCAATTTTCGCTCAAAAGAAAGCGGCTGGTTTCGTTTTATCGGTTCCTCGAGGAGTAACTTAAGTTTATCTTTTATTTCTTTCAGCATTTTACTCATGTGAAACCATCTGATATAAATATAAACATAAACAGGGAATTAAACAAACGACATAAGGTAATTTTCATTTGATGAATACAATTAAAAGACGAATATATAGATAATGCAAAAAAAAAAAGAAGGAAAATGAATCGAGAAAGATATAAGATTATATAAAAGAAAATGTTCAAAAAACAAGAAAGAGATAGATGGATTAAATGGCACTAGATTTCAAAAACTGCAAACATCAATCTGGAAGCATCTCTTAGGCAGGCGACAAGTTCGAAAATGCGAAGCAGTGCGGTGTCTTTATGATTAATATGCGCTTTTCGTGAAATATGGCATTATAGGTAACGTACATGCAATGCCAACAAAAAGCTTACAATTATTCATTATGAACATGCCTAAAAACACAAAGGACAGTCCTAGGATTAAACAAGGCTTTGCTTAAAAAGGTAGCTGTAAATTAAAGACCAAAATATTTATGTCACAAACACCTATGTAAAACAAGAACGAATTGAGATTTTTGTTTTCATTGCCTGTTTCTTTACGTCTGCTTCGCGCCAGGGTGTGCAAAGAAAACTCTTTCATTCAGGAAAGGAAAACGCTTTGATCATTAGCCAGTCAGAGGGCAGGTTAAATGTTAGGTTTAAATAAACTCAATTATCATTTTCAAAGCTAATGCAAAATTCTGGCTCACGTTTTTTTTTTTAAATTTATTATTATCATAATTATTATTTGTGTGTGTGTGTGTGTGTGTGTGTGTGTGTGTGTAATACAAAATTCTGGCTTATGTTTTTATTTAATTTATCATTATTATTATTGTGTGTGTGTGTGTGTGTGTGTGTGTGAAATTTAAGCTATAACGTACCTCGATTGTGTAGGAGGGCGAGGATTTCTTTCCATCCAGCCCTCACAGGCAAAGCGGTATATGTCCTCACATGGATCAACAGAGGTGTTCATGGAAGATAAGACGGCAGAGGCTGCCTCAAGACAGCTGAGGTCTGTACACGTGGTATCGTTAACCGCAGCTTTTGGTAGAATGTCCACTATGCCCAAAATTGAGAGCAGGAATACGGCTACAATGCCTATGATGATGAGCACGCTTAGTATCAGAAGAGTTAAGAGACATTTCTCTTTTCCAGTCCACCCTTGCTGCTTTTTCTCGGTCTTCGACAGCTTAGTTTTGCTTGAAAAGTCAATATCCATTTCAATGTCGGGTGAGGTGTCCACCATCTTGACCCAGGTATGTAGCAGAACGGCGGTTTAAATCGCCTTCAAACTGTCTGGTTCTATAACATGAACATATCCCCTGTAGCAGTATTGCGTGACTCCCTTAATCACTGTGCGACAACAATCTGGTGACAATTTTCATTGGGGGGGCTACTGCAAAGAATGCTTTTTATGTCAGATAATTGCGTGCATTTAGCGTGTAGAGAGTAAGGCGATATTTTTCCCTTGGGCTGGTCACTTGAGCCAAAATTATAGTGGCATTTTGACAGCATGGGTTTACTGCCACTTATCCGATACTCACTTCTTCCACCAAGTTCACCGGTGCCCTTAATATATGAAGCAACTATTCGTACTGTTAAGGTCCACTGAAGGCATATGATAAACTCACTCATTACGCTCTATTCACCCTTATAACTAAGCCGCGAAAGGCACCTAATGAGCGTAAGATATAATATAACTAAAATTTATTCTCTGGAAGTGACAAGAGATTTCCCCTAATCACCAAGATATACGATATCCAAAATCGAAGACAATTTCCAAACAATTAACCCCTTTTCAAGTTTTTTAAATCTGATTTTTAAGCAACTCCCTTACTGGACATGGCAACCGGTGACTTTTATTAATTAATTTTTATTTGGCATGCCTCGTTGATAAAAAGAAAACTGCTGACATTTCCAGCTTTCGAAATGTTAAACGTGCATTGTAGGGCACCTGAAACATTTCGAAAACGTTTACAATTCGTTTACAATACCATCATTTATGGTGACATTTTTCACACCTCGTCGGAGCCAGACAACAGGTGTGATGTGCCAGAATTTGGGACTCTGCCATTGGGAAGGCAAACCAGGTTCTGTTGTCTTATCCTTAAAATACACAATAAAAAAGAACGAACACGTTGCTCCATTGCTACAGTGACCTTCTCTTTTATTTTCAGCGTTGTTTGAAACTAATCATGCTATGCTATCACTTATGCACCATGGAAGAAAAACTCATTGGATGAAATAACTATAAACAGATGAACAAAGATGAATTTATATATACACATAGTGACCCCGTGTAATTATACATGTACATTTTTAAAAGTTTCAAGTAATAAGAAACGACAAATGTTGTGTGCAAAGTATAGCTAAAGTTACGAACGTAGCCAGTTCGTAACTTCCTCTCTCTCTTTCTCTCTCTCTCTCTCTGTCTCTCTGTCACACACAAACACAAAAACACGCACGTGCACGCACGCATATATCCTTTATCTAGCCTAGGTCCCAACCGAACGTACGGGCTGCTACGTGTGGTCTACGGCCAAAAAAATGGGCAAAACGTGGGAGTTCGTGCGTGAGGAGCACGTCCATCGTGCGACTTTTGGAGGACGCAAACAGCACGTAGAAACTTTTCGACATGATCAACAGCCGCTACGTGCGATCTAGCTACGTCCTAGCAGGACGCAAGGAACCTAAAAACCGTGCGTCCAAAACGTAGTTGGGACCAAGGCTTCTCACACATACAAACACACACATACAGAGAGAGAGAGAGAGAGAGAGAGAGAGAGCTCGAGCTCTAAGTTTCATAACCGTCTGTGTTGTCCCTCCACGTGGTTATGAGCTCTGCCCTATGTTGAATTTGTCTTCAGTGGTCAAAAAGGAGTCCATTCCCTGTAGGAACTGATTTCTCAACCCCGTTACTTTTTTGTATTTGTTAGATTCATTTAGAATTTCTTATGCCGAATTGTAAACGTTTATTTTCTTTTACAAATTAAAATGTTTGATACATAAGTCTCTTTAGAATACTTTTACTCAGAAATTATTTGGTTTTGTTGTAAATTGATCTTAATTCAAAGTAGCCACTAGTCATATCTTACTGAATGTAAACAATCTTCCTATTGTTTTTTTTTCTGATATTACTGGGGCTCCTTTCACGGAGTTGCGGTTGCAGCTTACATGACATTTCATATTAAAACATAAACATCATTTTGAATTTAGTTATAAAAAAAGACCTTAAAAGCTTTACAATGTTGTTTTTCTTGTCACGTTAATAGAAGTAGGCCTATTAAAACTTTATCAAAAGTTAGAGAAAATAATAGACATCATACTTTCATAATGTTGGCCGTCACCTTTTCCACTTTTAAACTTGCGTCCATGCAAAACTCGAGTCCATGTAACAGGCAAAGGCTCCTTTACCAATTTTGCCGTTGTAACTGATCGAAATAAATGTCAAATAACTTTTATCAATCAACCGCTGAACAAGTGAAACGGGTTGTGAGGTTCTATAACATCGGGGACATCAGGAACGGATCCCACGGAGTCCGCGGCAGATGTCGCGAGATTTCCACGAACGCGAGGTTTACCGGGGTGGTCGTGGACCGAAGGTGCGTTCGGAACAGAGTCTGGTGTTCCTCTGAGGGCATTTACGGTTTCCCTCTCAGGCTGGCCACGTGCAGGTTCGTTCGAGTTTTCTGATTGATCCTCTTCTCCTGAAGTAAAGAAATTACGAGTTCAATATTACTGTAGAGCTGGAATGTTTGTTAGGATTTGTATATGATGGCGGGAATTTAATGCCTTATGTGTGTAGATTGGAAATTAAATTACTACGTAGGACTATGTTAGCGACCAAAAATAAATAAATAAATAAATAAATAAATAAATAAATAAAAATTAAAGACACTGAAAGAAAGAAAAAAATAAAAGAATGAGGACGGACACATGATATCACTTACATTTATTCATCCTCTCGTTAATTCTCGTGTGTTTTCACCGTGCATTATAAACGCATAATGGACCTACCATTAAGCGTCTCATCCACACTTGAGGGGAGTCCACCATCGGTCTTCACATTAAGGGGCGCAGGTGCTGTATTTGGCGATTGCATCCTGACTGAAATGATTATGAATGAGAACATGTACAATGTGATAGTTGCGATAAGAGCATATCAGTCATTGCGCTTGATTATCAGTCAAATTACTTGTCGTAGCAATAACACCCACAGGATATTATTTCAGACAGTTAAAGCTGTATTTTCTCCAAAGCAATTGATAACGCTTAAAATAAATTCCCAATCGACTTTGATATCATGTAAAATCTACTTTTATTTTTTGTAGTTCCTTACCTACCGTATAATCGCAAAACCGTCTGGCCGCTGCCATAGTGGCACTTCAAAGAAAACAAAAAAGTTAATCAGTTGAAGATAAATTCACCCATCTCAGTGTACAATCATTTTAACCATAAAAAGAACGGTTAATTGAATTTAAGCACCAAAAAATCTCAATATTTCTGGTCCGCAACAATCATAAATGCCCCGAGTTCTAATGCCAAATTGCCCCATTATACATGTACAAACGATTAGAAGGCCACTTTAAATATCTTAGCTTTGCTAGGACCCAGGCACCAGTTTGTTTCATATTTTCCTTGTACTTAAACTTTTCCTTGTACTGTCATTCCCCACATTGAATCCTGTACGGACAAATTCTGTATGTTGAAATAAGAAAAAATATATAGAATGAAACGCTTTTTTCGTAGAATCCTGTGCGCTTCACAGTAAAGGGGAAAAACTAAAAAGTATGAGTTTCAAGTTGAATTTCGAAATAAAATATGCATCGTTCTTTTTCCCTTGAAGCATCTGCAGCTTTCCCATTAATTATATCGAAAAGCGAGACACAGATATAAAACGATGATCACAAATTTCTTACCAGAATTATCAATGTTAGAACCACAAATGAAATCCTCATTGCTTATTCTTGCTGTAGATGACGAAAATCGTTCCGTCATCAGCCACCTCGGTCTTAAACCACATAGTACCAGTTAACATACATCTATTTAATTTCATCTTCGTTTTATGGGCAAAGCGACCTAGAACTGGTACCAGTCATGGGCGTGACCGGTCAACAAAGTCTGCTAAAATTTACCAATAAATGTGACGGACTAGCGAAAAATACTAAGAAGCATTGTTTGAATGAGAACTGATAAGTGGGGAGATTTGTGGTCTGAATTGTGAGATTGGCCGCTAAATTGCCAACACAAGAGACTCCTAAAAGATCGGCAGGATTGGACAGGCAAAAAGATCATTACACTTTTTCTACCTACACACTAACACGTTCCTTCATACTCTATCTGATGTCGTCGTCTCCACAATCGTTGACGCCAAGGTTTTTCAAAGTTCAACGAAGGGCGTTAGCAAGCGTCCGTGACACGCACAGATAAACTCACAAGTAAACAATGCATATTGTTAAAAGGTTTAATCTGCTATTGTTCATATTAGCTACGAACACAATTGCCATTTAGACAGATATTTAAAACTGTCATCATATTTGACATTGCCATGCACATAGGCTATATGTAAGTGGATTGAACCTTTGCAGAAGGAAAGGAAATGTCTTTTTTTTTTAAATTCTATTGCCGTTTTGATATCCTAGTGTGTCTTAAAACTGTTCATGTGAGTAAATTTAAGTTTAAATACTGCCAGTGGAAGAAATAAAGTACAATGTATAATGCACAACTGCATACTTCACAATACATAAATAATTGTACTAATAATTATATTAATAATTACAAAACTTGCATTGAAAGTTTAATAAATTATTCAGAGAAATAAAATAAAAGGTGGTTCAAATCAAAAACATTCATATACCATGAAACGCTATACTAAATCACTATTTTGACGGAATTATCAATGTCACAATTATATGTATACATCCACAAAATAAGTGCCTTACAAAACAATATACGTACAATAGAGATAATTATAATATTAGATATTAAGGCGGTATTAGTGATAACGAGTGAAAGAAATTTATACAATTATGTCACCTAAAGTTATCTACAGCGAATAAACATAGTGAAATTTCATCGGCACGCAAAATGCTTGTAATGCTGTCTATAACACAGCCTGTAGGCAAGATATCATCTCAGTTTGTAATAAAGCCTTCAGAGATAGTATTTGTCTGATTGTGACGGTTATTAGATATTAAATCGAAGCAATTATTTCTCCATAAACATAGTGGAATCTGATAGGCTTGTTATATCGTTTCTTATTCGCCCTTAAAAACCTATCCACCGGAAGGAGTCCTTGCAGTTAGCAACAAAAATTGAATTATATTTTCTAACAAACTACATAGACCCCTGCCGGAGGGTATTAAAAACTCTGAATCCGTCAGTGTGCAATGTGACTGTTTGATGCACTGTATCAAGATCAAATAGAGGTGATGTAAAGACTCTTAACATTTACTATAACTAATAGTCAAATCAGCATGTAAAAGTAGTTTTTACTCCTTTCGAGAGAGAGTCATTCTCAAGGGTTTGTATACTATTTCATTCGGCTTTTAATAAATGAAAAGAGTCAAAATGATCCTTACATACCACAGTGTTCTTATTACCTAAATTTTACGCCATCATCCTTATCAGAAACATTTTCAATTTTAGGCACTGAAAATTGTCTTAAACGATCTTTTGTTTTTCGTGATATATGCTCAAATATATGATGAAACAGTTAGCTTTTCAACCAGCTGACGCCCTATTTTTCCTCTGCTGCTCCAGATGGCAAAGCTATGAGAGCGACCCGCTGAGTCCAACCATCTCGCTCATTCCATTCCCTGATAACTCTTTGGGACATAACGTTATATCTCGCCGACGTCTCGACTGGTCTGTACATTGTGCTGGCACCCCGCAATCTGTATACCACATTGCCGTTCAGTTTGCTGCGTCTGATTCCTGAGCCATCCGAGCCATCTTGATAATAGCTGTATGAAACCCCACGACGGTCAAGGTCATGACGGCGGTCAAGGTCGTATCCCTCCCATCCTCCGCTATCTTGATCGCTCCAGCGATACTTTTTAGAAACACTTCTAGTTGCGTCATTGCGGTCATCACGTGTGGTCACGGGGGCAGTGCCCTGGATGTCAATCACATTGTAGTCATATCCGGTGTGGATCCCATGGGAAGACATTTTGGAACCGAGTGCCTCAGAAACATTGCCGCCACGGCGCTCCTCAAATGTAACGTCCGAGCTTACATCATGTTGAGTGGTTTCATCAATAAGTGGCTTCCTAGCGCGATCTTCTGTCATCGTGAATGCACTAGCGTTGTGGGCTGAATGGGCACAATTATTGCTGTTCTCTTGATGACACTTTTTGGCGCTAGTGACGTCACATGCATGACCACTGTAACCACGCTGGCAGCAACTAGAGGAGTTGTCAATAATACAACCATTGCTACAAGAGCAGGAAGCGACGCCGTTTCTACGTTCTCTCCCATGACAGTCTTTCTTCATTGCTGTGTCGACATGCATGTCATTGCAAACGTGGTTGCTATGGGATACAGGAACGAGGGCACGTGAATGGCTGACGTCGCGGTAATGAGAGTGAGACGTTGCCCTGGAGCTCTCACGTGAACAGCGATGGCGAAGACGGGAGCCCTGCTCACATGCCCCCTTGGCGCAAGCCCCGATTTTGCAATTAGCAACAGCAAAAGCCCCGCCAGCAAGAGCGCCTTTTGTCATTACACCACCGGGCAGTCCTCCAACACCGTAAGATCCGCCATTGTACGCAGGCGCGGCCCAGGACTGGTAGGCTGGGAGGGGTGCGTGGTGATGTCCTGCCATCGCCGCACTTGAACTCCAATCCCCGCTGTAGTCGGTCTCACTGTCCACCCACTTCCGTTTCCGACGACGGCGCCTGCACAAGAAAAACCAGCAGCCACAGCAGCAGAGAGAAAGCAGGAGAGCAGACAAACCAGTTGCGATGGCAGTGATAGCGACTGTGCCATCGGAGCTTAAACTTCCGTCACTGTTCACCAAGCACATTTGACCACGTGATCCAACCGCTGTCCCAACACCAGGAGGAGTAGGTGTCGTTGCCGTTGATGTAGTCACCTTGAGAGTTGATGTTGTTGGTTTTGTTGTGGTTGTTGTAGAAGTCGAGGATGTTTTTTGGGGGTGTTGTTGCTGCTGTTGTTGTCCGAGGGCTGTTTGTACTGGTAGTGCTTGGGGACGTGCTTTTGATTGTTGTGGTATGTTTGGTCCTGGTTGGATGCTGGGATGTTGTTTTAGGAGCAGTTGTAGTCGATGGAACAGGATCTGGTTGCTCTGTGGTTGTTTGTTGTTTCATGGTCGTCATTTGTTCAGTGGTAATTTGTTGTTCAGTGGACATTAGATGTTCTGTAGTCATTGCTTTCTCAGTAGTTGTTGGTTGTCCCATTGTTGTTTGTTGTTCAACGGTCGTTTGTTGTCTCGTTGTTGTTTTTTGTTCTGCTGTCGAATGTTGTTCAGTGGTCGTTTGCTGTGCCACAGTCGTTCTTTGTTTCGTGGTTGGTTGTTGATCAGTGGTCGTTTGTCTTTCCGTAGTTATTGCTTGTTCGGTTGTTGTTGGATGCCCCAGTGTTGTTTGTTGATCAGCAGTTGTTTGTAGATCCGTGGTTGTTTGCAGTTCCGTGGTAGTTTGTTGTTTTGTGGACGTTTGCTGCTCATTGGTTGTTGGTTGTTCTGTTGTCGTTGTTTCTTCCGTAGTTGTCTGTTTTATAGCCGTCGCTCTCCGTTCCGTGGTTGTTCTTTGTTCCGCAGTTGTTGGTTGTTCAGTGGTTGTTTGTTGTTCCGTAGTCATTTTTTGCTCAGTGGTTGTACGTATATCAATTGTTGTTTTTTGAAGTGTGGTTGCTTCTTGTTCCGTGGTTGTTGGTTGCTCTGTAGTTATTTCTTGTTTAATGTTTGTAGGTTGTTCGGTCGTCTTTCGTGCTTCTGTGGTCGTCTGTTGTTCCTCGGTTGTTGAGTGTTCTGCGGTTGTAGGGTAATCGGTAGTCGGTATTGCTGATGTCATAAATATATTATCACAATCTTCATCATGGACTCCATCACCATCATCATCTGATAAAAGAAAATAAATATTAAAGTTTTTTTGTTAAATATCTAATAGTTCTAATAGTTCTTTTCTCCGAAAGTACCGAGAAACTTAAGTGCAATGATGGTGCCGGGGGAACTCCTACCACCACTTTCTCCCCTCAAGAAGAACGGAACGAGACAAGATCAAACCATTTTTCTCATCCCTTTACCTTGCATACACAGCATTATAATAAAACGGTCCCCGTCTTTTGTTTTACATTTACTGATCAAAACGAGATATTATTTAGTCTTGTGCCCCACCCCATACAAAAATCAAGTATCTTCTCGTGTAGAAAAGTAATAATTTATGCGGGTTTAATATAAAGAAAGCACTGAGCATAAATTTGAGGAAATTAGACATGAAGGTATCTGATTATTATAAGCTTGGAACTAACCAATGTCGTTGCCACATATTTCCTCGTCGTGTTGTCCATCACAATCATTGTCTATGTCATCGTCAACCACCATGGTGGACGGCACGCATGCGCAGTCTTCTTCTATCAGTCCGTCGTAGTCATCGTCTGCAAATAAGGTTTGAAGCAATTTAAATGATGAACATATCAGTAGTAAATAAGCCGTCCTACAAGTTGATGCAACAAAATACTTTGCCTTCTCATTTCTTTCTTTCTTTCATTTTATATAAAAATAGATATCATTATTTTAGGATGTTTTGAATCTTTTTTTGCAATCCGTAAAAATAGACATTCCAATAAAAGCCTTACCAATATTATTGCTGCACATTTCCTCGTCTATTTGGCCATCACAGTCGTTATCAACACCGTCCCCGGGTACCATGAGAGTTCGCGTACAGACCTGGTAGGGGAGATGACAATATTAAACATATGAAGGGGTAGAAAATATATTTGTTCGAAAAATTCGTTAATAAGACAAGCAAATCCTGTGAGGTCATAAAACTGTGTGAAAAGCATTCTTCAATGCATCAAAAAAAATTATTATCGGTACCGACTATATTTAAATGGAACTGGGAAGTAATAAAATTGATTTTAATGAACATTTATGCCCTCTTCATGCAGTCAAGAACATACTGCTTCTGTTGATGGGGGTTCTCTGGTGGTCAACTCCACGGTTGTAACTTCTACTGTGGTCGGAGGACTGAAAACGCTTGAACAGTCCTCGTCTTGAGTACCATCGCCATCATCATCTGTAATAAATAAAATGAAGACACGTGTAGGGAAACAGTCAGAATTACAAACAGACAGGCAAACAGACAGACAGACATGTACTGAAAGAGAGGTGGAAAATAACGTAAATTCATAACTGAATAAGTTATTTAAAAGGAAAGTGAAAAAAAAAAAAAAGATAAAGACATAACTTTATCGAATGCCGTCTCATATAATAGCCGATTCTCGAAGTATTTATATTTGCCAGAGATGTTCTCGTAAAATTTGGTAAAAGTACTCATAATCGGTACATAATTTGCAACAATGTACTGTATCATGAAAAGCACATAATTCAGTGAGCCTGTGGTGTTGATATAATGAACTCACCAATGCCGTTGCCACATATTTCCTCGTCGTGACGTCCATCACAGTCATTGTCTACGTCATCATCTACAGTCATGGTGGTCGGCACGCATGCGCAGTCTTCCTCAATCAGACCATCGTAATCATCGTCTGCAAAATGACTTTAATGTGCATCTAAACCCTACATGAAGGTGCGTGATAACGGTAGTTTATAATCATAATAGTTTTTGTTTGTCTGTAATTCAGCAATAAGTACAATCCAGTCCAATACTTCTGATTGGACTTAGTAACTACTGCTACAGCACATTTCATTCATTTCTTATATTGTTGTTAAATCATTTTCATTGTTTTTATTTGAATTAAGGGTCCAGGATACAGACTGATACAGACTTTAAAAAAGCTTTACCAATATTATTACTGCACATTTCCTCGTCTATCTGTCCATCACAGTCATTGTCGATGCCGTCGCCGGGCACCATCAATGTTCTCGTACACACCTGGCGGGGAAAAAGCAAAGTTAATATGGAAATTTATGTACAGGGAAAAATATCTTGGTTAAAAATCAAGTTAAAAAGACAAAATAAGAGATCTTTGAAGTCAATTATATTTGCGATAGGAATTATTTTACAGGCAAAAAAAAAAAAAAAAAAATTATAATGACCAATATTAGAAGGTATAAAATCAGAGCGGGGCAATAACAAGATTGACTTAAAAACATTCCTGTCCTATTCAGGCTGGCAGAACATCATTACCGCTTCTGTTGTTGGAGGTTCTCTGGTGGTCAACTCCGCTGTGGTAGCTTCTTCTGTGGTCGGAGGAATGAAAATACTTGAACAGTCCTCGTCTTGAGTACCATCGCCATCATCATCTGTTATAAATAAAATGAAGATAGATAAACAGCCACGCAGTCAGACAGACAAACAGACAGAGAGAAGTGTTCTGACAGAGAGATAAACAGTCACACATACAGACAAACAGACAGACAGACTTGTACTGACAGAGAGATGGAAAAAGACGTAAATGAATAACAGAATAAGTTATTTTAAAGGAAAGTGAAAGAAAAGAGAGATAAAGATATAACTGATTCAACGACGCCTCATGTAATAGACGTTTCTCGAAGTTTTTTTTATTTGCCAACGATGCTCTAGTATAATTTGGTAGAAGTAGGCCTACATGTACTCATAACCGGTACATAATTTGCAACAAGGTACTAGTATCATGAAAAGCACATAATTCAGTGAGCCTGTGGTGCGACACACTTGATGTAATGAACTCACCAATGCCGTTGCCACATATTTCCTCGTCGTGACGTCCATCACAGTCATTGTCTACGTCATCATCAACCGCCATGGTGGTCGGCACGCATGCGCAGTCTTCCTCAATCAGACCATCGTAATCATCGTCTGCAAAATGACTTAAATGTACATCTAAACTCTACATCAACGTACGGGATAACACTGATTTAATCAAAATAATTTTATAAAAGTTATTAGGCAACCAGTATAACTCAACTTAACATTTGATTGGTCTTTGTAACGACTGCTGGAGCAGAATGAATTTTATTTTGTTATACTATTTTAAACCATTTTCTTCTTTTTCCAATTAAGTGCACGGGATGAAGACTTCAAGTATTTTAAAAAGCGTTACCAATATTATTGCTGCACATTTCCTCGTCTATCTGTCCATCACAGTCGTTATCAACACCGTCCCCGGGCACCATCAATGTTCTCGTACACACCTGGCGGGGGAAATAGCAAAATTAATATAGAACTGTATGTAGAGGGAAAAATGTCTTGGTGAAAAAATTAAGATAAAAAACAAAAGAATAGATCTTTGAAGTTAATTATATTTGAGCATTATTTTACCCGGTAAAAATGTAATGTTGGTCAATAGTAAAGGAACAAAAACAGAGCGGGGCAGTAACAAAGATGACATTAAATAATCATTTCTGTCCAATTTGTGCTGGCAAAACATTATTACCGCTTCTGTTGTTGGATGTTCTCTGGTGGTCAACTCCACGGTTGTAACTTCTTCTGTGGTCGGAGGAATGAAAACAATTGAACAGTCCTCGTCTTGAGTACCATCGCCGTCATCATCTGCAAATAACAAACATTTTAATGGATGAACAGACGAACAGACAGACAGATTGACAGACAGGCAAACAGGGAGATAGATAGATAGATAGATAAGATAAGATAGATAGGTAGATAGATAAAAACAACTCTAATAAATAACTGGACGCAGTAAATAAAAGACAGATAAAAAAGAAAGTGAAAAATTGAACGAAATCGAAAGGAGCTTTCCGTAATAGACATTTCTCGAAGTTTGCATATTTGGTAAGGGAGATTTTATTTGGACTATTTTCTCACTCACATATGAATCACAAAAAAGTACAGGTACAAGAAAAAAGGCACAGGACGTAACTCAGTAAGAAAGACACCATGGTTTCTCATGATTTACCCACCAATGCCGTTGCCACATATTTCCTCGTCGTGACGTCCATCGCAGTCATTGTCTACGTCATCATCAACTGCCATAGTGGTCGGCACGCATGCGCAATCTTCCTCTATCAGACCATCGTAATCATCGTCTGCAAAATAACCGTAAATGAACGAACGTCATATAACTACTGTGATTATAATACTTGGATTATAACTGTTTCACTCTTTTACTTGAAACATTATCAGTTTTTGTTTTGAATAAAGGATCCATATTTAAGACTATAAGTATCTGAATAAAAGTGCTACTGCTGCCCATTACCTAAAAATGAAAGATGTTAAAATTTATGATAAATACCTATATTGTTGCTACACAATTCCTCGTCTATCTGTCCGTCACAGTCATTGTCGATTCCGTCTCCCGGTACCATTATTGTACTTGAGCAAGTCTGAAAATGCAAGTAAAATCAATACTAGTAAATGTATGATGGGTAACGCAAAGATTTTTTGTGAATATCTATTTATTTATATAGTAAAACATACAACGGTTTACGAGGCTAAAGGTAAAGTGCAGAGGTGCCATTACGGAAAGTGTTTGTAACAACAATTTACATAAAGAATTTAAAGACGTAAAGATACGAAGGGTAAAGATAAATGGAAATAGACATAGAATTGCAGAGAGTCACTAGGATATTTTTCAAATTAAAAAAAAAAAAAAAAATAATCACCTCACCGGAGCTTTCTGTGGTCGAAATATCACCAAGGATTAAGGTTGTATCTGCCATAGTGGAATATTCCGTGGTTGCAGATGAAGCACTTTGATAGTCCGATTGTGTAGAGAAAGAGTCGTCCTGATACCCAGAATGTGTTGTAGACTGGAACATGTGATTTGATGTCTCCGTTGACAAAACAGTATCGACATATTGCGATTGTGTTCCAGAAGTGACGCCTGCTGTGGTAGTAACAACTGTTTCAGAACAATCTTCATCTATACGACCGTCTCCATCATCATCAATTCGATTGCCGCAAGTTTCTTCATCTGTCTGTCCGTCACAGTCGTTGTCCACACCATCTCCTGGAGTCATTGTGATATTAGGACAAGAACAATCTTCATCGATACGACCATCTCCATCATCATCAATTTCATTGCCGTAGATCTCTTCATCTGTCTGTCCGTCACAATCGTTGTCCACGCCGTCCCCGGGCGCCATTGTGATGTTAGGACAAGAGCAATCTTCATCTATACGACCGTCTCCATCATCATCAATTTGATTGCCGTAGATCTCTTCATCTGTCCGTCCGTCACAGTCGTTGTCCACACCATCTCCCGGGGTCATTGTGATGTTAGGACAAGAACAATCTTCATCTATGCGACCGTCTCCATCATCATCAATTTGATTGCCGTAGATCTCTTCATCTGTTCGTCCGTCACAGTCGTTGTCCACACCATCTCCTGGGGTCATTGTGATATTAGGACAAGAACAATCTTCATCTATACGACCGTCTCCATCATCATCAATTTGATTGCCTAGTATTTCTTCATCTGTCCGTCCGTCACAGTCGTTGTCCACGCCGTCCCCTGGCGCCATTGTGATATAAGGACAAGAGCAATCTTCATCTATACGTCCGTCTCCATCATCATCAATTTGATTGCCTAGTATTTCTTCATCTGTCCGACCGTCACAGTCGTTGTCCACACCGTCCCCTGGCGCCATTGTGATATTTGGACAAGAGCAATCTTCATCTATACGACCGTCTCCATCATCATCAATTTGATTGCCTAGTATTTCTTCATCTGTTCGTCCGTCACAGTCGTTGTCCACGCCATCTCCTGGAGTCATGGGGGTATTTGGGCATGCGCAGTCTTCATCTATATATCCATCCCCGTCATCGTCTGAAGAAGATGCAAATTTATATTTCATAAATTATTTTGTGAAAAACAGAAAAAGGGGAAAATATTTATATTCAGTGACACATCAAGGACTTTGTGATGGTGTGTGGATAAGATTAATATTGACAGAATAGTTGACGTACAATAACAATTTTACTGCAACATGAAGAACATGAGGAAATTTGTATTTCATTTCATTATTTACATTGTTTTCGGAGAGGGGGTGGAATGATAAAGGAAGTGGCGCGTGAACCGCTGCTGATAAAATTGACTTCGTACACCCAGTATTTCAACATAATAAATTGCAATTAAAGGGTCTACCATGTTACCCTTCTTCATACCACAATTACCTCCATCGATTCTCTAAAATGATACCAAAATGACCTGTTAAAAGTTCTATAAGAAAATACTGCACACTCTCAAATTGCCAAACGAATAAAACAAGTGGACTTACCGACGCCATTACCGAATATTTCCTCGTCTAGCCGCCCATCACAGTCGTTGTCAATGCCATCCCCGGGCACCATTGTGATATTGGGGCAAACCTGAAATGTATTATCAATCAATCAATCAATCAATCAAACAAACAAACAAACAAACAAACAATTAAAGCATTATTTGATTAAGAAATTAACCACTTATAGTTTATTGGAACCTGAACCTGGGCTCAAGGTTAAGGATGAGGGGTTTATCAAGTGAAAAAATGGTTGCAGTACATTTCGAATACGCGTGTAACGTACTAGTAATAATTGGGACTGGTGAATTTTGTCCGTTATATATAACATGTGAAGTCAGTTATACGAGTATACAGTTATGTGGCCAGATACAGTACGTTATATGCGCGCGTCTGGTCCCGCTCCATTGAATGCAAGGTCTAGTACTAGAGTAAAACTTACAGTCGCACAGTCTTCATCTTGCACACCGTCCCCGTCGTCATCTGTGAAGAGAGTTAAACTGTATTAGGACATTTGAGGACACAGTCTGTGAGTATCTTTTAATTTAAGGCAGCAAAGCCACCAAGGAATCAGGTCTCAAGTGTACACTTCCCATATGAAATTTATATCTGAGAACGTTTTATGGTCTGATAATTTGTTCGTTTGTTTTCTCTCTACGGTTTTCACCCAAGTCTCAGAAGCAAAGACTCACCTATTCTGTTGTTGCATATTTCCTCGTCCAATCGTCCGTCACAGTCGTTGTCAAATTTATCACCCACCACCATTGGTATTGGACTACATGCCTGAAATTTTAAATTTTTGTTCAACTTTTAAATTTATTTCGTTAAGCTATCGCCATCAAAATAATCGTGACTGCAATTTTCAAATTGTACGTACCAAACTTAACATAATATCATGTGATGGCAGAAAAAAATATTCGGACACCATTTGTCCATCTGATATATGAACAATTGCGATTTCTAATATAAAACTATTTACAGGGGTATGTAAACTTGTAGGGTTAAAATACGCTTTCCCGTATATTAAATGCAACTCTTTAACTTATTCAGATGAATTGAGTGCATCAAAACGAAAGCAGGACTGGCTGAACCTTCAACCACATCCTATAAAAGACAGCGTATTCTTAATAGCGTTTTATTTCATCCAGTTGCCTTGACCTTACTTTATTTTCAATAACTAACCTTTAATTGAACTTTTTCAATGCCCAAAGTTTTTATTGTCCTAACGTGTCTGACTAATCTTTTTTCTGCCTTTAAATGCTAGTTACTCACCTTGTTGATGGGAGCCAGTCTCATACCTCCAGGAAAGCCATAGGACTCCCACACCGCGCTACCAAACATGAAAACCCCGAACGTACTGATGCTGGACACGTGACTTAACACGTGGGTCCCCTCATCGACCTGGAATCGGCTCCCGCGGTATTCCGTACCCGGGATGTCATACCAAGTGATGTTATAATCATCAGTATGATCCAGGTTGAACTGCAGTCCATCCGATTCATTGGCCCTGACAATGACCATGAGGTAATTCTCATAGGAACCCAGGCTATATTTGGGCGTGGTGAAAGCGTAGTCGGCTTCGTACTGTTCTATGGGTGGTATGAGAATCATGGCAGGATCGGATGGCTCCTTAAAACCGAGTTGACTCTGAACGATCTGGACCACCATGATGGGTTTGTCGGCCGTTATGAGTGTGTAAACATTACTGAAACTGGCACCGATGATCTTTTCCACGAAGTCTCCGGCTCGACTTAAATTGAGCTGAGCGTCTGGCTCCTGCGGTATGCCAGTGATGGAGATAGTCGTATTGTCTTCACTGGCAACGAATCGAAACACGTCTCCGGGTTTAAAATGATCCCTTCCTGGAATGGGCACGGTTGCAAAGGTCTTCCCCCATGTGTTCACGGGGGTCATTTGCTCCACGAGATGATCCTGTGTGTTGCCACTGCCCACATTCGTCTTCTTGTTGCCGCTGAAAACCGCCACCGGTTTGTCGGAGACGACATGAGAGCCTGTGAGATCATTCGCGTTGGCTGCCTGTATTTGCATCGTTCCGTATCGATTAAGTGTGACAGTTATATCGTCACCGTTGTAGAACACCTGTCCGTTATAGGTGATCTCCGTCATCTGTCCATCGGGATACTGCTGCCGTCCTAATGTAATTGTTATATTGGTGTCGTCTTCTATCGCTACTATGCCTGTAAGACAAGCATAAGACATTCTAAGAAGAAAATTGATTATCGCATGTTGTGAGTTCTTTTTTTATTTTACACCATGAACCGTATATACAAAATCTCACACTCAAAGCAATTTTATATTTCTTATCACGTGACATACTACATCTGGAAATATAAACGAACTCAATTACTGAAAGCAATGCACATTCATTTGACACAGCATAAGGTAAGGGACCATTCCCAAGCCCTATCGTACTAACTTTGGATCGATCTATCTCCAAGGAGAGTCTTGCTAAATTGCAATTAACTTAAGCGGCTTAGATGTCTGTCACGCCTATTGAAGCTGCTAGGGGATAATTAATTATCGTTCGTTTTAAGAAATGCAGTGTAAACATTAGAGCAGGTTTTAATGCCTAAAAATATATGTTCCAAAATATTTAAAACAGAATAGTAAAACTGTAGATAGTTTTTCAATGCCTAAAAGTATATGAAATATTTAAAACAGAATAGTGAAGGTATATGTTTTTAAGTATTTAAATTGGAATTGTAAAAATTATTGTACCATGATTTACACATTGTGAAAAGAATTTAAAAAGGGGGAATAGCTATTCTTATTAAGATGAGAGAGAGTCAACCCTCATTTTCCTTGGCAATGTCTAACGGCGGAAGCAGAGAACATAGTTAACTCTTACCAAACTGGCAGTGCCTGTAGGCGGGCGCATAGGACACCGTATAATACTCTGTCCCCAGGACATCGGTGGGCAATCCCAAGAACCCGTCATTGGAGTAGACCTGTTTGTTGATGGAGTAGACCACGATCTCGGAGCTGGACGTTATCAGGACCGCCTTGTTGGACACTTTCGTCCCGATGTGACGGAGGGCGTGGGGGAGGTATAATTGGCGCACTTGTCCACGTGTGACGTTACTTTGGATGTTGACAGCCTGGGGATCGTCCCAGCCCGGGGTGGAGACATTGAACTGATTGTGTGGAAAAAGATAAATAAATAAATAAATAATGAGTGATGGGTGTGAGAGACAGTGGTGTACAGACAACGAGATGAAAAGAAATATACAAATGAAAGGAAAATCACAACGAAATCAATAACGTATAAAAAATTTTCAAAAAAAAATTGGGATCATAAATAACATACCGGTATCTCAGGAAATCTCTTTTTTAAAGTCACGTGTGCAAATAAATTTGTTCTAGAGACGCAACCACGTTCTACATCTTAATATTTAACGGCTCACATAAGCAAAGAAAATAAAAGTTTATTTTTCAGTGAACTGTGTCAAAACTATATTGTCTACTTAGTTCATCCCAATTCACCAGATAACTTTTAACCGATTAAAATGCACTTTTCTTAAACATAAAGAAATCTACATACATAGACGATATCCGACACTGCAGTGGTGACGTAGACTTCAATTTCAAAGTCTTCGAAATTGGAAGGATTGAGGTTAAAATTCTCATTAAACATCAGCATAAATTCCGTGCCTCTGTTGTCTGGGCCAGCTAAAAGAAATATTTAAAAAAAGAAATAAATAAAACAAAACATTGGAGGTTTACGTACTTATTCAATACATTATCCTGTGTTTGGTAATCTTAGCGGTGCTATCTTTCAACCGTGTAATACCGTGAAATTCACTTCTTGTTGATATGACATTTAATTGAAAAATAATAAGCATTTCTATTTTAATAGAAATGCTTATTATTTTTCAATTAAATGTCATATCAAAAATCATTTTAAAAAACTACACATTTTTAATTTGAAGAGCATAACAAATAAACAGAATGAAATTAAAGAAAATAGAATAGACAGAGAAATTATGAAGGATTAAATAAAACGAGTCGCTAATAATTTAGCAAATAGACAGTCTCGTTTGAAACTGATAATGACTAAGGAAAAGCCTGGCAAAAATGAGTTCATCCAAAAGTTTTTCATAATAAATCTACGTACCATGAATTTCTGTATCCGTCCCTGTAATTGTACAAACATGAGATTATATAATAGAATTATGTAATTAAAGTAACACGGTGCACTCTGGGTCATCCTGACCAGATATCATGCATGAACTAGTATAAATATTTTCCTAAATTTGAACAGATGGAAAGAGAATTCTGGACACTTTTTATGTGCTTGGTTGAGCGTGAAACCTAGCACTCCTTAAATCTTTAATTAAAAAGTTTAAATCGCAAACGCTGTCGATGCGAGGACTATTCTATGACAAGAGTAAAATACATTTTATATCGAGGGAGACAATACGAGGATTTTTAGTATCTTAAATCGCTCAATTGCTAATTGTATTGATTTGACGATAACATTCTACACAAAGAATTGATAATGCAGTATCACAAATTGGAAATGAAAAGAAAAGCAATACAAGTACGTCCCGGAAATTGGCAAAAGCTAATCTTTTGTAGATTTTCTGAAGCAATACTCTTCAGTTGGCGAAAATCTAATATGTTGCTTGACAATTACTAGAATTTGCTGAAGACGCTCAGAACTTTTTTCCGCACACAAACAAGATTGAAAAATTGTCCATCATTTTGACAAAATCCCAACTGCATTCTTCCGTATGCATGTTAAGTGCTCGCGAAATATTATCATATTCTGAAAACTGAGTCCTACTATTATTTGGACCTTATTATTTTTTCTTTTGCTGTAAACTATAAAGCAAAGTTCAGAATAGCACAAACCAAAATATCATTTAAAAGTATAATTTTATTTGTATTCGTGAATGGGTAATAACTATAAGCTATCACTCTACAAATGCTTAATTATTAGAAAAAGAAAAAAACATAACAATATCATATATAAAAAGACGTCGTGAGAAATTTGTGTTTAAACGTGTTTAAATGTTTAAAAAACCTTTATTAAAAGGCAAACGAAAATCGGTCATAGCAAAGAGAAAAATCCTTGAAAAAAAATATAGAGAATTCAGTTTAATAAAAAAACGAAAAAATTAAACAGGCATAAAAGTATAAACCAACCTGCACAATGGTTTTTCCTGTTTGCGCAGACCACAAGAAAAAATAATACTGCTTCTATCCACTTCATCTTCTTCGTCTACACTTCTTCACTCCCATTCCCGAAGATTTTCGAATTAAGGGACTGCAAATCGTCTTAAACCATCACGGTTTAAATGCAAGGAGGAAAGACGTCAACAGAGTAGAAAATTAAAAATAAAATTTGATTGATTGTTATTCCTTTTATCCCCAAAACACGATCTGAGCTCATCACGAATTCAGCGTGGGTTACCTAACATTTTTTGTCAATACGATTTACACTGAGTTTGGCCTATCGTTTAAGAATTAATGTCCCGAAAAAAAGATAGAAAGATGCGACGCGATTGACTTTCATGGAGAAGGTCGAACCAGGAACGGATCAAACGTAATTTCTGTATTAATACACCAACCAATTCTGTACATCACGTAACTCCTTCAACGCGATTGAATAAATTGACGACCACATTACCAATAGAAAGCCTTAGGTGATATAACCGCTTGAAATTAGATGTTACTTTGGATGGTAACAAACTCAGAAGCGTATGCGTGAATAGCGCTCCTGATCCATGACGTGAATGTCATGCATTTTGCTTTCATTGTGCAAAAGACTATTCAGGCTGCCTACTGACTACTGGCCTTTGTAGATGTTGTGATGTATAGAAAAAGCGGTTGGACTTAAAAGAAGAAATATGAGTTCAAAGGGCACTAGCGTTTTCATGGCTAAATTCGCGTCCAACAAATATGTGAAAAGAACACACACATTCAAGAACTCGTAGCTACAGGCACGTGCTGGTGTATGCGATGGCGTGAAGAAGGCACATCTATTATGTTAGTTGACATTATGACAAAATAATTTAACTTTGAGGCAGCACTTGAAATTTGAGTTATGGTCATTTCACAGGCATGACAGAGGTTGTAAGTGGTGCAAGAGAGAGAGAGAGAGAGAGAGAGAGAGAGAGAGAGGTCGTTCTAGGATAACAACTCTCGCAGATGCTTCTTCTGAAAATGAGTAATTAAGCATAAAATGACTGCCACTATGGTTTTGACTATGTATTATTTATTGCGCGTGGTAAAAACTATAAAACCTTTACGTTCTTTCATACTCTTTATTTCCTGCTTTCCTTCTCTCCATTTTTTACTACTCCACTCAATCTGTTACGGCGTTTTCCCCGTTTACATCACATGCCTCTGCTTAAGTATCGTACATTATGAGGACGTGCCAATCAATATTATAGAACACACCCCGCTCCTTATTCATAAATATCAACCTCTAAGGTTTCAAAAATATACTGCATGACTTCACTTCCTCATAACAGAACTTAAAATGCACGTAATAATTAAAAATTATACATATTCAATCACCAAAAAAAAAAAAAAAATAAAAAAAAAAAAATAATAAATAAATAAATAAAATAAAACCCTTTATCGCACACAGCCATTAATAGGCACCCCGATACCCAGCGTCGAGTAACTTAAATTTTATATTATTATGGTGTCCACTGAAACTCAGGCAATAAAATGGTCAACTTTGTCCCCGATTTACATCGGAAATAATACCTTCAATGAAATATAAGCAGTTTATATTCCACGCGTTTTCTTCCTACTCTTTATGGTAAAAATGCAGTGAGCTTTCCTCTACCAGGGCCGCAGGTTAATTTAGCGCACTTTTTTCTTATGCGTAGAGTAGTGAAAAGTGTCATGAATTAGCCAGAGGCATATCTGGCTATCTAGTGTAAAATCTGTTTGTGGCCCTGGTAGAGGGTAGCAAAATTTATACAGTTTGAATATATCCACGGTCATGTAAAGACGTCGGCGTTTTCAATGTTGAAACCTGTTCTCACCTACTTGGAATAAAATTGAATAAAATTTGATGAAATAATTTGATAAAAAAAGTGCGTTGTCACTGGCGGATCTGGAAATAACTTGCCCTTCTGTTAAAAAAATATTTGTCCTTTTGTCCTCCCAAGAAGGAGAGCAAGACAAACTAAAGGTCCGTCCTTTTTTCAACACAGAGTTCGTAGTCTTTAGCCCGAAGCGTAAAGCCAAATTCTCCCTTAAGTGATGGCAACGGTCGATCTTTCGGAAAACTAAACGTGAATCGCTGCAGTAGGCTGGTATATACCAGGAAGAATTCTTTCTTTGCCAGTTGTTCTCCGAGGCAAGAACGCCGCCCTGAATTTAAAAAATAATAAAATGCAAAATTTATTTCGTGATTTAAACCAAAATGGTGCCAAAATTATCTAGGCATTTAACGTAACTTAAAAGTGTAGTTAAATACTATAACTGAATGAATTAAATGTACAGGGATGCTAAAAAAGCAGTATAACTGAAAAAGTCAAGAGAGGAAACAGTCTTTGTTTTTGTATGTACTATTTCAGTGCTTGTTATGGTAGATATTCACTTAAGTCCTTTAGATTTTATACTTAAAGTTAGAAGCCTTTGTAGCTCACAAATATAAATTAATAAACAAAATATTAAAGTAAAATAAAATGAAATAAAATAAAACTTTAAAAAAAAATCCAAACAAAATGATTGAATAAAGGAAACCCGATCATACATAATGCAAAAACCTTCATTCAAAACATGAGCAAATAGCAAAAAAGTATTCACCAACTGAAAACGGCATGTACGCTTCGTGGCTAATCAAGTGCCCCTCCTTATCCTGAAATCGCTCTGGTCGAAATACTTCCGGGTCACCCCAGGCTTCCGGGTCATGATGAACGGCCCAGAGATTGGCAATCACATCTACGTTCTTTGGAATGGTAAAACCCAGTACTTCTGTGTCTTCAAGACAACAGTGGGTTGGGTTAATTGGTACTACCCCTAAGAATTAACAATAAGAAGATTTAAGAAAGGAATTTTACTTAACTCAAAAGACTCGATGAAGTATATGTCGTAAAATGAGTGCACTGTTTGCCACTTAAACAAAATTATAAATTATTCACGCCCAAAAAGAAAAATATAGAAAATAAGTAACTAATTTTTATTAAAATCCTTTGTTTAAACTCCAGGGGTTAAACGTGGATAGAAGAGTATGATCTTGCGTTTAAGGGCATTTTTGTGCACTTTTAAGAATTATAAGAATTTATACCTTGTAGTTAAATGATATAAAAGATGTGTTCTCAATGTTAGTTGCTACTGTGTTGACTCATTATGGTTAATACTAACTGTAAAGGTAAATCTATCAATGACGAGATAATATAAAAATTAATATATAAACTATCTCACCCGAAAATCGGAGCGTCTCCATTATCGTGGCTTGAGTATACGGCATTGCGTCACGATCCGCGAGACAGGGCAGACGATTGTGTCCTATGACGTCATCAATCTCCGCCTGCACTTTCTTCTGCGTTTCAGGATAGTAAACAGTGTACAACATTAGCCATCTCATCGACTCTGGAGCGGTATCGACAGCATCGGGGAAAAAAGAATGAAGCTGGTACATAAATTTATCGTCTGAGTAATAGCCGAGCGTTGATGACATCTTGTCAGAGCCGATCTCGTGAAGCACCGTGTCAACGAAATCTCGCGTGACACCAGGAACGAGAGTTGCTCTATGTTCCTCCACGTGTGATCGGAAAAAGTCGTGAAGTTTTTTGTTAAGATGCCTCGTATATTTTTTCCTTTTTAAAACCCACGGCAAACAACCCATTAATGGGAAGAAGTTCAAGTCACCCTGAAGTTTGGCAGTGTTTTCCATCCATTTTCCTATCGTCTGCAAAATATCCAAGAAACCTTGGTCGTCGTAATCGTAACGCCTGCTAAACAGTATGAGCGTCATGATATTTGACATGGCGATTGATACCGATTTCATGATGTCGTGAGGACCTTTCAGCGATTCGAAGTGCTCGATAAGTTTGGTAACTTCTTTTTGTATATTGGTTTCGATACTAGTAGACCCGTAGCCAAAACTCCGCAGAGCCTTAATGGTGAACTTCTTCTCCATTTTCCAGTCTTCTGAGTACGGACCAAAAATTGTTCCTGGCGATAAAAAAAAAAAAAAAAAAAAAAAAAAAATTTGATAGAGTACATGTAGATTTCTTAGCCTACAAATATTCAAACTGCTTTATCATAAATGCGTAAAATATCACATTTGCTTAAACGACAAAAATGAAGCAAAAAATGAAAGGACAAATACATGTAAGCCTACTACTACAGGATTGGACACCAAACAAGCTTTATAAATTGACTTTTTTTACAATGATCAAAATAAGGAAAATAAAGCATATTCTACTTATCTTTTTTTTTAACTGGGAAGACATTACCACCATCATGAGCTTGTGTCTTTATTTTTTCAAGTAAACGGGGGAAACGCTAATTTGACACATACCGTAGAAATGTGGGTTAACAACTTCGATGTGTGGCTCTGCGGGTTTGTCAGCGAACACAGAGCCGTATTTCAATAAACTGGCACGCACTGCACGATGACTACTCAGGATAATGTTTAACCTGAAGCATGCAAATTTAATATGACGATCAACATTTTATCTTTTATACCCCAGGGGCAAGAAATCTGACTATCTTCTAGAATAATAGAATAATAAAGTTATAATTTCGAAATGTTATGCCATGTGTGACCCAAACATGGTCCCCTCCAGGCATATTTTAAGGTAGTCACAGAGACCTCGGTTATAGGCTACATGTACTGAGAGGGCCACCGGCCCATGCAAGCGACTGCAAGACGATTAATTATTAATTCAAGCCATATATATCAGCATATATACCATAGGCCCCTATATGGTTTGTGTATTGGGAGCAGCAGTGGAGCCTATGCAAATATTTTTGAGTCATATTAACTGTATATAATATATTGACTACTGGTACGGCTGTACACATACAGGCCTGCATATATGCCTACTGTACTGTGTAGGCCCTACAATTAAACAACTACCCTAGCGGTCGGGGGTGGGGGTGGGGGGGTGGGGGGGGGGTGCAAGACCCTTTAATAAAATCAAGGGTTTTCAAAAGTCGAACCTTGTGCCCAGGTATACAGAGTAAATATCCTTGTACCCTTTCCCCAGATCTTGCAGGTCCAGGTGAAGGTCCGATTTCAGCATAGGTATACAGCCAACAAGTGGCCATCCTTTCGGACCGGGAGGAAGGTTGCGATAAGGACGCCGCTGGACCATCCAAATTATCAGAGTCAAGAACGCTACAACTGCCACCAGCACGATGGAGATAGACTCACTGGCGACCATGATTTTGTCATATATTTATCACGCCCTGTAATATGTAAGATTGGAATCAGATCAGTTATATTCCTTGCTAGCGACGTACACTGATCTTGATCTGGTAGGCCCAATAAATAGGTCAAGGTTATTTATGGCCCAGGTCATGTCCTTAACTTCCGCTGCTGCTCTGTTGCAATGGCGAAGTAAATTCCTGTCGCAACTGCTGCATTTTAATTTCTTTTTTTCTTGCTACTTGCTTCTTGATTAAGATACTTGCTTAAGATAGATAGTAAATAAAGCCCATTATTTTCTATATGTTTGCAAGTATCATAACACTCAAGAGTTCTATCCCGATAGCGTTTTTTTTTTTCTTTTCATCATACCTTTTCATGAGTATCGAAAACAGTAAACATCAGTTGAACGCTACAATACACACACCGACAGTCGCATTGATCGCGCATCGACCTCGGTCTTTGTCACGCGTCTTAAGAAGTCTCAAGCTTTAACGTTCGATAACTCCATGCGCCCTTCCCTCTCACAGTCGATAGAGTGTGTGGACAATGTTGCCATTTTAATTAAAGATTTCTGGTAATCGCTTTACGGTCTCTGCTCTTGTGTCCTTACGACATGGGCACAAAACCCAGCGTCACGAGACCAATAAAGGTTGAGAAGAATATGGCAGCGACAAAATCACACCGAAGGTGTTCAGTTTGCAACGCCGTGAAGGGGCAACTTTTAAAGAATGACAGTGGATTTCAGCCGAAAGACGCTCATCTTTTCTGTCGCTATGTTAGCGTTATGCGGATGGTCGTGCCGCTGTATTCTCACAAGGATAGTGAAGTATCGGTGGTGAAACGAAAGCCAGAACTGATGCTTGCTTTTGCAGGACAAATTGAAGACGAAAAATGTTTCTTTTCTGCAGCAGCTGTAACGCCAAAGGGACAAATCGTGCTTTGCGATGCACTGAACCGACAAGTGAAAATATTCGATAAACGAGGACATTTTGTGAATTTGATAGGAATGAGTGATGTTTTGAAAATTCCTTGTGGAATCACCAAAACCGACAAAGGTATATTCTTTTTATCTTTTAACTTTTATGAGCACTGTACCACACATTGCGTGTGAAGTACAAAATACACTATAATACAACACGGCATCGCAAATTATACATGTATTGATAACCAATCGCGCCATAAAAGGAACCTATATGCTCTTGATAGATCGATAGATCGATAGATAAACACAAAATAAAAAAAAAACAAAACAAATTGATATTGTAGATATAAACGTAAAAAATCAATTAAAACTAGTACATAAAATCGTGGTTAAATTGAAGCCTGGATTGAAGGATGGATTCAAGAAGGGAATTAAGGAGGACGAGTGAGCATGTAGTTGAACTTCAAGGTTGAAAACGCACTAATAAAAAAGACACACGGAAAAAAATTCAACGTATTAAGAAAGCACCCTTTTACGATTTCAGGAGAGATTATGATAATAGACAGCGATACTAAGGCNAAAAAAAAAAAAAAAAAAAAAAAAAAAATTGATAGAGTACATGTAGATTTCTTAGCCTACAAATATTCAATAATTTATCATAAATGCGTAAAATATCACATTTGCTTAAATGACAAAAATGAAGCAAAAAATGAAAGGACAAATACATGTAGGCCTACTACTACAGGATTGGACACCAAACAAGCTTTATAAATTGACTTTTTTTGCTACAAAGCACATTAAGTGTTTTTACAATGATCAAAATAAGGAAAATGAAGCATATTCTACTTATCTTTTTTTTAACTGGGAAGACATTACCACCATCATGAGCTTGTGTCTTTATTTTTTCAAGTAAACGGGGGAAACGCTTATTTGACACATACCGTAGAAATGTGGGTTAACAACTTCGATGTGTGGCTCTGCGGGTTTGTCAGCGAACACAGATCCGTATTTCAATAAACTGGCACGCACTGCACGATGACTACTCAGGATAATGTTTAACCTGAAGCATGCAAATTTAATATGACGATCAACATTTTATCTTTTATACCCCAGGGGCAAGAAATCTGACTATCTTCTAGAATAATAGAATAATAAAGTTATAATTTCGAAATGTTATGCCATGTGTGACCCAAACGTGGTCCCCTCCAGGCATATTTAATGTAGTCACAGAGACTTCGGTTGTAGGCTACATGTACTGAGAGGGCCACCGGCCCATGCAAGTGACTGCAAGACGATTAATTATTAATTCAAGCCATATATATCAGCATATATACCATAGGGACCTATATGGTTTGTGTATTGGGAGCAGCAGTGGAGCCTATGCAAATATTTTTGAGTCAAAACTGTATATAATATATTGACTACTGGTACGGCTGTACACATACAGGCCTACACATATGCCTACTGTACTGTGTAGGCCCTACAATTAAACAACTACCCTAGCGGTCGGGGGTGGGGGTGGGGGGTGGGGGGGGGGGTGCAAGACCCTTTAATAAAAACAAGTGTTTTTAAAACTCGCACCTTGTGCCCAGGTATACAGAGTAAATATCCTTGTACCCTTTCCCCAGATCTTGCAGGTCCAGGTGAAGGTCCGATTTCAGCATAGGTATACAGCCAACAAGTGGCCATCCTTTCGGACCGGGAGGAAGGTTGCGATAAGGACGCCGCTGGACCATCCAAATTATCAGAGTCAAGAACGCTACAACTGCCACCAGCACGATGGAGATAGACTCACTGGCGACCATGATTTTGTCATATATTTATCACGCCCTGTAATATGTAAGATTGGAATCAGATCAGTTATATTCCTTGCTAGCGACGTACACTGATCTTGATCTGGTAGGCCCAATAAATGGGTCAAGGTTATTTATGGCCCAGGTCATGTCCTTAACTTCCGCTGCTGCTCTGTTGCAATGGCGAAGTAAATTCCTGTCGCAACTGCTGCATTTTAATTTCTTTTTTTCTTGCTACTTGCTTCTTGATTAAGATACTTGCTTAAGATAGATAGTAAATAAAGCCCATTATTTTCTATATGTTTGCAAGTATCATAACACTCAAGAGTTCTCTCCCGATAGCGTTGTTTTTTTTTTCTTTTCATCATACCTTTTCATGAGTATCGAAAACAGTAAACATCAGTTGAACGCTACAATACACACACCGACAGTCGCATTGATCGTGCATCGACCTCGGTCTTTGTCACGCGTCTTAAGAAGTCTCAAGCTTTAACGTTCGATAACTCCATGCGCCCTTCCCTCTCACAGTCGATAGAGTGTGTGGACAATGTTGCCATTTTAATTAAAGATTTCTGGTAATCGCTTTACGGTCTCTGCTCTTGTGTCCTTACGACATGGGCACAAAACCCAGCGTCACGAGACCAATAAAGGTTGAGAAGAATATGGCAGCGACAAAATCACACCGAAGGTGTTCAGTTTGCAACGCCGTGAAGGGGCAACTTTTAAAGAATGACAGTGGATTTCAGCCGAAAGACGCTCATCTTTTCTGTCGCTATGTTAGCGTTATGCGGATGGTCGTGCCGCTGTATTCTCACAAGGATAGTGAAGTATCGGTGGTGAAACGAAAGCCAGAACTGATGCTCGCTTTTGCAGGACAAATTGAAGACGAAAAATGTTTCTTTTCTGCAGCAGCTGTAACGCCAAAGGGACAAATCGTGCTTTGCGATGCACTGAACCGACAAGTGAAAATATTCGATAAACGAGGACATTTTGTGAATTTGATAGGAATGAGTGATGTTTTGAAAATTCCTTGTGGAATCACCAAAACCGACAAAGGTATATTCTTTTTATCTTTTAACTTTTATGAGCACTGTAGCACACATTGCGTGTGAAGTACAAAATACACTATAATACAACACGGCATCACGAATTATACATGTATTGATAAAAGTACAATAATCAATCGCGCCATAAAAGGAACCTATATGCTCTTGATAGATCGATATATCGATAGATAAACACAAAATAAAAAAAAAAGCAAAACAAAACAAATAGATATTGTAGATATAAACGTAAAAAAGCAATAAAAACTAGTACATAAAATCGTGGTTAAATTGAAGCCTGGATTGAAGGATGGATTCAAGAAGGGAATTAAGGAGGACGAGTGAGCATGTAGTTGAACTTCAAGGTTGAAAACGCACTAATAAAAAAGACACACGGAAAAAAATTCAACATATTAAGAAAGCACCCTTTTACGATTTCAGGAGAGATTATGATAATAGACAGCGATACTAAGACAGTCCACACATATTCTCCTGACGGGCACCCACCGTCCTGTGGCTTTGACCGCTAGTAATGGTCAGCTTGTCTGCATTGATGACCAACCAGAAAGACCGGCGGTTGTTATTCATAATTCGGAAGGGCGGTTCATTAAGGAACTTAAAGGTGACGCATTTTTGGTGATTTTATTCGTTTTTCTTGTTTTTTCTTAAAATAATAATAATAATAATAAAGGATCTGTACATGCACTGATGAAGTGATACAACCCAAGAAAAAAATTTTATTCAATATTTTTTATTAAATTTCTAAAAAATTTTTCATATCAGGAAAAAGTGACTTCGCTCAACCACGTGGAGTTGCAGCCACTATTGACGTCATCGTGGTGTCTGACGCGAAGAAAGACACCGTTACAGCTTTCAGCTGGGAAGGGGACGTTCTCTTTGAATATGGATCAAGCGGAAGTGACGTAGGGGAACTTCGGTCACCCCAGGGTGTGGGTGTGGATCCAAGAGGCCATGTTCTTATTGCCGATAAAGATAACCAGCGAGTGCAACTTTTGACTCCAGATGGGGAATTTCAGCAGTTTGTGATGACGTCAGATGTTGACAGTCCCTCTGCATTGGCAGTTACTGATGACGGTCAGCTGGTTGTTGCGGACGCGTCGTCTGCCATTGTAAAAGTACTACAGTATCTTGACTGATTTTATATAAACTTAAAATTTTCCTCTCTGTGATTAGTGCTATGATCTGGAAAGGTAATTTTCTAGAGGAGGTGGAGTCACAATAAATATATCCAAGTCATTTACAGAATAAATTATAATTTGATTTTAACACCTGAGCTGCTGACACACTATTGAGTGAAATTCGTCAGTATTTATCTACCTGACGTGGGTGACACAAAAACTAGATACTTAAAAAAGTCAAAGGAGGTTTATTGGTCGTCATTCTATGAATTGTTATTAATATCTTATATACGTTGATGCTAAAGGGAAAGAGTTAAAATCTCCACGGAAATTGTAATTATGATTAATGCTCATTGTATGCATTTAGACTAACTGTTTTGTGCGACCTTTCTTTAAGCTTTAATATCGTACAGTAAGAAAATGGTCTCAATGATAAATGTCAGTAAATGATTGGTTTATTCTATGTATTGCCCCTATTACACACAGACCACGAATCCCACGAATCGCCAGGAATTGACAAATTTCAGGATTCGTGGTTGAATCGTAATCAGTTCGTGAAGTTCTTAACAGATTCGTATATATTCGTAGTCAGTTCTTGCAATTCTTGAGCAATCACGAACTAATTACGATTCAACCGCGAATCCTGAAATTTGTCAATTCCTGGCGATTCGAGGGATTTGTGGTCTGTGTGAAATAGGGGCATATGGCAAACAAAGACGATTTCATGATAAAGTAGCGTATCATTAACTTGGTAATAAAAAATATCAAAATATCAAATATAACGAAATAAAATATAATGTTGATAATTTAACGAGTCACAAAGACAATGGACAACTCTCCAGCCATAATATCCCACTGATAGATCTAGAATTTTGTTAAGGGTAGGGGGAGCATGGACCGAGACGACAGAAAATGTTAGACAAGGGTGATTGTACTGTTACAACATGGATAGAAAAGTGCTTAATTTTTGTCTAGTTTCACTTCCTGTACGTTTTAATAAAAAAAGATGGAGAGGAAAGTACAATCTGCACCTGCTAAACTTAAGATATACCAGTATGTGTATGTGTGTGTGTGAGTGCGCGCGTGCGCGTGGGATGGGGGGGGGGAGGTGTCTTTGTCTTCTTGGATCCACCATAACCACCTTTAACTGATAAAGAAAAATATCCTACAGCTGCTGCACAGTGGTGATCTCATGAGATGAGATGATTAAGCTCTGCATTCGTCGATAGATAGTGAATGTATATTAACACCCCCCCCCCCAAAAAAAAAAAAAGCCCTTACATTTATCGAAAAGCTATGACATTAAGCCAAAGTTGCGTTTGCCATGCAATGCCTGTGCGGTGCCCGTAAAGCCTTTTTTTCGAGCGGGTCCCTGTGGGAGCAGGATTCACTGACTCCGCAGCTTCTTGGATTTGTCAAGCTTAAACTTTGAACAAATCTTTCAAAACGTAAATAAATCGGACTTTGCAATATCTTTAATGGCAGGTCACATTTCCTTTTCGAATGTTTTGCGCTGGCCGTGGGTTGCGGTGATCATTCAGCAACGGAAAAATAATCTTGCGACACAGACCTTTTAGAATTGTTAAAGAAATGGGATTTTCGCGGGAAATTGCACCGCCGTCGTGTGTAGCTGCTTGAAAATACCCTAGGTTCTAGATTCCGGTATTGCCAGCTCGATCTTGATTTCATATATAACCCAGTCGCAATACCAGGTCGCTCATTCTTCTTTGTTACGTTAAAATGATACATACGTTACCGATACATACGTTACCATAATAACAAGCGTGCGTACATATACAATGAGAGTATACATATTGATGCACCTTGAAATATCTACATTATAGTTGTTAAATACAATTCGAGCTTTCGGCCCCTGGGCCTTCTTCGGGGATAATGAACAAAAAGTGAATCAACATGAATACTGAGTACATATACATTGTACAATGCAACCGCAGAGTCTTGTTTTGTATTTTGATCTGTTTGCGCCCCTGACGAGGCCTCCGGGCCGAAACAGCTGTAGGGACTTATATTATAAATCAAAATGGAGAGAACAGATTAACTATATATATATATATATATATATATATATATATATATATATATATATATATATTAACAGTCAACAATAGGCAGGATAGGATAATCCTAGACACGGGCCGAAAATTTATTCTGTCCTGAAATAACCTTCTTTACTACATGTACCCTCTACCAGGGCCACAGGTCAATTTTCACAAGATATTCACAGATGTGTCTGTGGTTATATTGACAGTTACACTCTGTACTGCATCAGAGAAAATGTCCACATTATAACTGCGGCCCCGGATACGGGGTACATTTTTACTCTCTTTGTCAATTAAACTACAATTAAACTATTTGAATCGAACTTGCATGATGCTGCATTAGTAAGCTGACGGGAATCTTTCAGCGAATGGTTAATGAATAAGATGAGGTAGCATTGTATACGTTGGTTAATGGGGACTCCCGTAGAACACTTATTATCTTGCTTGTCACGTCGGTGATTTTGATCTTAAAACTTTGCAGGTGACAACGACGGGCCTGATGCTCTACTGTGTGATCGACATCTATCATCAACTAGATCACTTGCCCATTGAAAAAGATAATTTGTGTGTTTGGGACGCTTTCAGCCTGCCACTCATGACGAGCAGACTAGACAACTGCTTGATTTGAAGCTCTTTGTACTGTATTATTGAAAAGGGACAACTTATGAAAGGAGACTCTTTTATAATATTTTGTGAATTCATAATTTGTGAGTTGTTTATTTTCATTAAGTTTTCATATAAAAATGTACAAATGCATCAAGATCACCCTAAATTTAGATCAGCGTTGATGCCGTTGCGGCCTATAGTGACATATATGATACTTAGCATAACAAGAGAGCCACACACGTACACGTACATTATACATTATACTAACAGTGCTAAATCATCCAGGTCCTTCATGTGAAACTTGAACGATCTTTCTTTTTTTTTTTTTTTTTTTTTTTTTTTTGTGAAACATGGATGGGCCCCTGGAAATACTTGTAGGCGATTAGATTTTTTCGCTTTTGGCTTATTTGTTCTTTTGCTTGTGTATGTCCTTTCGCATACTGCTTATAAATCTAATCATTTTTAAATTCATCAATAAGCTCAAAGCATTTAGCTTTCAGAGAGGAAGTCTTTGTACGAGGGAGGGGGTTACGAAATTGAGACACTGTAGTTGCAAGGCAATCGTGTAGCTTAATTTGTAAAAAAAAAAAAAACATTTCATCAAATGCTAATAAATAAGTCATCATATGACTGGACCAAAGTGAGAAAATGATAACTTGATACATTTTGGAACTGAAAATGACCACCGCACTGTGTTCTTGTTGTACAGTAATTTGTACACTTAAGGGGCTCAAATAATTTCTTTGCATAAGTTTTCCCAATAACAGCCATAGTTTCTTATTTGCTAGACTTACAAATATTGAACCAGTGATTCTTTTGAGCCTGAGGTCTTCCAGATATAATGAAACTTCATTACTCATTGCTCTGTGAATTACAGAAACTGAGTTCAAATTTGTGAAAAATCTTATTTTCGTTTTTCTGCCTATTCTTAGCGCTTAAACTCTGAATACAAATATAGCATACGCAGCAGGTATGGGCATAATGAAGATAATTAACCTGCCTAATTAAGGCACAAGAAAAGAATAAAAGTGTGACTCACGCAGTCCTGAAAATGAACAACTCCTCTTGCTTAATGAGATGTATGTTGCTTGTTTACAACTGTGAAATACCCTTTAATTAAAATTTATGGTGTTGTGATATCTAATTGCTGTTCTTAGCTGCCCAGCTGAGAATTCCTGGCATGGGAAGAATGACGACAATCAAAAACATGCCTGCCAAGTTTTTGATCCATATATTTTCAACATGCTTACAGCTTTCATGTGACTTAATCAGATATTTCATCAGATGTGGTTTGTCCTCAAAGTTACAATAGAAGTTTCTTGAATCATATTACCGATAAACTCCCCGAGGAAAGTGTCTTGCGACACACTAAAATACTCAAGAGCAAATGAATCTGTGTTAAGCTGAATTTTGAGAGTAAAACAAAGTATTATTATAACTTGTTTTAAAATGGTTGTAATAAATATATTATTTATTTCTTAAAACCTACGCGTCTCTACATTGTTTACATATGGAAATAAAACCATAAATATTAATTTAAAACTAATATGAAAATAATTAAGACTCTATGACATAAATGCAGCAAAATATTTTTTAATAAAAAGTTTTTTTAATTTCTTTTAAAACTATGACAGAAATTATTAAGAAAAAAACTCGATTTGTTAATAAAATTTAATTTCAAATTTATGCTACGGGGTCTTTCTGTGTTCTTAAAATTCATTTTCAATTAATTACACTGCACCTATTGACTTTAAATAAGTATTTTCTATGTTTGTTCTTATAGAAATCCAAAAACGAATTTACACCCACCTCTGAAAGGTCAATACAGTTACAAACATATTTCTCAATATCTTGCCACAATCAGAATATTCTTTACTGCCATCCTCCCTCTTTTCGTTGTCGCATGAGTCATTTTCCCTATGTAATGAACTTCGCTGCCTTGTACTTTGTCTAAGAAACATAATTTTAACGCACAATTGGTTTTCGCGAAAGGATAATGTTTCAGATGAATTATAAGATTGACGTATACTTTCTAAAAAGTCGATCGCACTTTCTGAAATTACTTGTTCAAAGGACGTTGTCAGAAGGAACCATGCTAATTTTGAGCAAACAACGCAATTCCTTTTAATTAGACATATGGTGATGGTATCTGCACCCTATTATCTCGCCAAGACAGTTCAAGGGTAGCTGAACAACACCACGCCCGGTGTCGACCCATTCTGTGGGGAGAGGAGGGATATGAAAAAATACATCAAAACGTTCAAATCAATTTCACAATATTAACTCTAATATATCCTTTCCATGTTTTATTAAATATGGCTTAATACTTTCCAGAGGGATATATGTTAGTTTCATGGTTGCACTGTGTGCGTGATTTCTCACTCACAGCCACCCACAACCCCTATAAGTGATAATGGACCCATCCGCCGCTTCACCCTCCGTGAAAATGTGCGAACATGTTACCAACGACAGGTATATAAGGCGAGCCACCGCATCACTCGACACTCAGTTCGAACATTTTCCAGCAGTTTTTAAACCGGTAGCTGGGCGCAGTACAGGTCGGCACGAAGAAAGAAGGTAAGGTGAGCGGGAAAGGAACTTGTGTACAATCGTACATTGTACCGGCTCTGGGTAGGGTGTCAAGGCGGTGTTCGGAGGGTACAAAAATACCCCTTTCTGGCGGATAATGAATACTGTATGTCAAAGCTTTAGCAAAGTTGTAGCAAATTATGATTGTGGCATTCCACACTGATGGGTCAATTAAGGCTCCCTTTCAGAAAAAACGTGCTGGCTACAGGACCACCTAAAGCTTTCAAATACCTGGAAGTCTAAATTCGTGTTCAGAATTTAGATTTCTTATTGTTTGGCAACCTGCTTAAATGTAGTCTTTTTTTGTTAATAGAACATCCGAGTGTTGGCATCGCGGTGATGGGGACTTACCACGTGGCCTTGTGGGCCTGTTTGACCCTTGCTTATGTTGCAGGTAAGAAAGACCTTTACTCTTTCTTTGTAATGGCGTCCATTTAACTTTTTACAAATTTAGTACCATTCCATTGCTTTTTAGCCCGGCTATTTGTCTTTTTAATCTGAGCCTTGGTCATAAATATGACTAGGTTATTAGGGCATTGTTTATTGGCAATGATCCTCCTTAGCTAGAAAATACTTTTAGTTGTTAATCTTTAACGTGTAATATGCTTTAGTAAGTAAATAGCATTGTGCTATAGTTTACTTTGATCTAATAAATTGCCTTAAACAGAACGCCTTTTTTTCATATATTGAATACATCTATTTTCAGGAACTCAGTATCCATACTACGAATATACGAAATGGCCAGACCACCTGACTGTGCCAGATATGTCTCCTGACGGAGTGGACATTTTTTATTTCGGAAGAATAAGAACGGAAGCAGAGTGTGCGTTGCAGTGTAGCGGGGTAAGCAGAAAACATGTTCGGATAAATACAATTCTTCATGCCTGTCAAGTTTAAGGGAGTCGCCAGTATAATTGCCTAGTTAAGACGCCCATTGCTCTTTGTTTACATACATATATTAAAACATACATTGCTCTGTTTCCGTTTACTTTGAAGCGATTTCTTGTTTTGCAAGTCGATCTTAAACCGTATAAATTCATAAATTCAGGAGCCGGGTTGTATGGCCTATACGTACATAAAGAAGATACCTCTTCCACCAACTACTTCTACAACAACAACGACCACCACCACCACGCCCACGACGACGACCACGCCCACCACCACCACGCCCACGACGACGACCACGCCCACCACCACCACGCCCACGACGACGACCACGCCCACCCACCACCACCACCACCACGCCCACCACCACCACCACGCCGACGACGACGACCACGCCTACCACCACCACCACGCCGACGACGACGACCACGCCCACCACCACAACCACGACGCCGACGACGACTACCACACCCCCACCCCCACCCCCACCACCAGGTCTACCTGACATCGGTGGAGACGAGGGTGATTTGAGACGTCGCAGAAGGAACATCAATGATCATCTCCATTTACATCGACAAAAGCGTGATGGTCATAAGGAGATGGAACCCCAATTTTCCTGTGTCGGTAGAAGTAACAGAGGGGCGATAATGGTGAATAAATATCTTGCAGAAGAACCTGGTTATTTGAGTGTTGAATACCACAGCGGAGTAAAGGGAGAGAGAAATGGAGCGAACGGTAAGTTTCTAAAAGACATTGTAATAAATGTTTTTGTTCCAGTGTTTTCCGTAGAGCCAATTCCCTACTGTTTTTATTCTGTCTTCGAGGTAATAATATGATGTATAACCTTAGCTTAAATATACATCTTAGAATAGCCGGAATGACTTTTATTTTACGTGACGCCTCCCCCAAAACACTTGTCTAAATAAAAATATAAATGACCGTTTACACAATATCCACTTTTTATCTCTAGTTGTAACTGAATACCCTCAATGTCCAAACGGCTTGGTTCCCACACAATGTGACTGCATCAACAGAGACACACCATTTGCCTGTGTGCCGAGGTTGTACCGTGATAACGACGGCAATACAGGGAAACTGAAGTGCGTAGCTGAACCTACAGTCCTTGGAAGCATGGATGACATAATTGTAAGTAAACGTTCGGGATTTAAATCATTTTGGAATAGTTCACTATATATAAAGTAGGCCTAAGCCCATAAAGAAAGTATGTAAACACGGTGTCGTGATAGAAGTATTATCTCCGTCATATTATCTTACACATACTGGCGAGTTTCCAGGTATTTTACTCTGGTTAATGTTAGATAACCAGGTGGTGCATGTACACACAACCAGCGACATCTATTGATCATAACATGCAATTTTTTTCGTTGCAGTCTGTGCTCACTTGTGTGGACCCCACAGTTGCTGAGATACGCTACAACGAAGTAACACCTGACCCAGATGCTTCCACCCCAGACTCCCTTCGACCAGTGGTCTCGTGTCCTGACGGCATGGTGGCTCCGGAGATGATAGGGTGCACCATATTTACCAATGATACTGAGTAAGTGTCTTTAAAACTGACATTTGACGGTCAATATAAGAAAACAATGCCTTGTCATGTCGAAAATGTCCCCGAATAACTTGGAAATGTTTTATTGTGTTTATAAATCGCAACGCAACTTTTTCACCTACGACGTGGCTAAACACTTTTTATGTTCGTCATATATGTATATATAAAAAATATTCTTTTGAATATTTGAATGTGAGTAATTTCCTCTAGTTTTTGTTTACTTCTTGTATGAATTTGATTTTCTCGTTATCATGTGTTTTCAATTTCGCAGTCCTTCTGTTGGTGCTCCAAGACCTCTGATTGATGTTGAAGCCGGAACTTGCACCCCAGATAGAAACGTCACCGCAACCTCTGGAACAGACGTAGAAATAGTTGTCACTTGTAGAGAAAGTAAGAATTTGACTAATTGACTGTCACTGTAATTGTTAATACACTCTGAATATAACGAATTTGGTAGTCTGCACTTACGCAAACATAATTTAGAAAATAGTCATAATATATATAAATCACGGATAATGAAAATAAAAAACAATATATATCGTATGTTAAATCTATGCTAACAACGCAATTCCCTGCTTTCAGATGTTTTCCCATGGGGAATGTGGTCGGAATGTGACGATAATAACCGAAGAACTCGTCGAAGAATGTATAAAGTAAGCATTCAGGCAAAACATATCCAGATCAAGGCGTTGATGTTGTTGTCGATTAAAAATCGTAATATGTCATTATACAACGCATTCAAGATCCGGTTTGAATTATCAAGATTTCTCAGGATCTACAAAATTCATGTGTTCTTTTCATAACTGCTTATTCTTAGGTGACGTTTATAGATTATGTTAATACTAACCTCGTCTTGTTTTCTTGATATCAAGGCTGGAAGCTGCAGTGGTCAAGGCGTTTTTAACACACAGGAAGAAAGTGGTGTTTGCAACCGTAAGTATGTTGTGGAAATAAGAGAAAATGTTAATGTATATATCAATCGATTATTTACTTAAGCCCGGACCACATAACTCACACCATTATAAAATGATTAAAATGCATAATCTGATTCATTGAGACAATGATATCAAGAGATTTTGTTCAAACCAGGTGTCATTTCTTGTTTTAGTGGGAGCTGTGGGTGACAGCGACATCGTTTTCGTCATCGATGGATCCGAGGGCGTCGGGCAGTCCAATTTCCGCCTTGAGCTGGAGTTTGTGAAGCGAATCATGCAAGCATTTACTGTCGGAGAAAACTACACCAGATTTGGCGTAATCCAGGTTTCCGGAAATTCCAACATCGAAATTTATTTGAACGACACATTTGACATCAACAGGTTGATGCAGTTGGTGGATGGATTGAGTTATATGGGAGGAGATAGAGACACACACAAGGCTTTGATGTTGCTTAAGTGAGTATCATTATATATTTAACATTTACTACATGAAAATTGACCTGTCAGTTCTAATCGTCAGTTAAAAGGCAAGCAAAAAAAAAAAAAAAAAATAAATAATTAATAATAATAATAATAATAAAATGAATAAATAAGTAAGTAAACTTTTCCTCTACTCGTTTTCCTCTAAACGTTTCCTCTACTCTCTCTTATGTCAAATCCCAAATTTAGGCTTAAAAACAAACCCTTTCTTTCTACAGTGACACCGTGTACATGGCCGAAAAAGGTGGTCGCCCATGGACTCCAAACCTGGCTGTCTACATTAGTTTTGGCAAGTCGACAAACCCGGGATATACCAGCTATGAAGCAAACGCGGTAAGTGTAGTTCTGCAGCAACATTTTAGTTAACATTAAAAAATTTTCTTTTACGTTATCAATTTGATAATGAAAAGGTTTACGGAATTCATGCATGTACCTGTCAGTAGCATGGTTATAAAAATTAAATTAGCTTAAATTTTTATAATTAATCCGACCCGTTTTTTTTTTTTTTTTTCTTTCTTAGACTCACGATGCCGGCATTCTGTGGGCTAAAGGAATCGGCGTTGGACCAGCTTTTGATGCCCCGGATGCGGTAGAGGAAGTGCAGGGCATTGTTTTGCCACCAAATGACGTCTACGTGGACATTGCCGACCTGAACCTTGCTTTGGTCGAGTGTGTTGCGGGCAATTTGACCAAATTAGGCGACCCTGATTACGAACCCGGTACGTTTTCACTCGGGACAATTTCATCTCGACCATTATTTAAATTCTTTCATTTACTTTTTGACAGTGAATAATTTCCAACCGGGTACTGAAAGAATTGTTTCCTTACAGTGGCATTAAGAAGAGTATTTCGAGTGTAATAGAGTGTAATGTTGCTTTTATAAATAGCCTTCATTGCGGTCGATTATTAGTGTTAATAGCTTACGATTTTTTTTGCATACTATTGTCATACACTGTCATACACTTATGCCTGCAAATAGCAAATGTATCTGCAGTACAAAATGACATAAAGTACGCTTTTTCACTTGTTTTCCAAACGTCCATATTATATCCGTACAGTAGTCCATAATCTATCAATATAATTTTAATGACAAAAATGCATTCTCACGTTATGAATTATTATTCAGGTCTGTCCCATTCCGAGTGGACTCCTTGGTCTAATTGTTCTGTGCCATGCGGAGGGGGTGTACAAAGGAGGACTCGCCGTTGCATAAATCCCCAGAAGTGCCCTCTTGGTCAGGGATTTGAAGAGACAAGACCCTGCAATGACCACTGCTGCTATGGTACGTGCTAATAATCAGTCGAAAACCTGTCGAGTGTCAGGATTTTTAATTTAAAAGTACTACTTAAGGTCTGACGAAGTTTGAAATTATAACGTACATCTGATAACACTCGGTTTACAATCTGATCTTGATAATCTCAGTAGCATTTGTATTTCACATTAGTCTACTTTTTTCTTCCTTTGTTGTTTTAGACGATGTGTCATTCTTATATCAACGGTTTCAATTTATTTTCCAGCCACGAGGCACCACGTACACTTCGACTGCTCTAAGCCCGGGACACTTTTCATCGCCTGTAACAACGACTTTGACAGTTTCTTGAGGGTAAGTTCTTAGTAAATTTGATAGAAGTGCCAACCAAGTCAAATTGATTTCAGCTGCAAAAAAGTGCATTTATTTGATCAGTACAACTGGTCTTTATTTCTATTTGTGACCTAACTGTGTTGTGAACATTTTGATTCTACGATGCACGCTATCTGCATATTAATATATTGCTGATAACCAAAACTCCTTGAATTCTTGACCAAACAATGTCAGATTTTGCCATTATGTATTATGTACCTCGTATTTCCAGCCTGAGATAACCTTTATCATCATTTTAACAATTCCAGATTCACAGAGTAGTCAACTGCTACAATGATACAGATTGTCAAGATTTCGACGGCATCAGATCTTCTCTTCAAGCAAGGTGTGACAGTGAAGACGAATGTGGTACTGTCTATCCATGTGGTCTGATGAACCCACCTTCTGTCGTTCTAAATGTTCTTTACGAGTGCTGTTTTAACCCCTATGTTGGTAAGTTAATTTGTATTTAACTCTTCATTGTACGTGAAATGTACGTAATCACCCACAATTTCACGGAATAAAACTATCCCATAACAAATCATATACTGGTAAATTGTGTTAACATTTTACACGTCGTCTTGTGTTACTGAACATAGATTATGATTTTGATTTTCGTCTGTTGCTGGTTAAACAATTCCATACACAATGCACTATTATTACATGAATTATTTTTTCCAGTGGGCCACAGTCATCCACACAGTCACGGACCCGGAGGAGACCACCATGATCCTGGTCACGGCCCAGGCGGCGGCCACGAACATGGTCCAGGCGGCGGTCCAGACGGCGGCCACGAACACGGCCCCGGCGGCGGTCCAGACGGCGGCCACGAACACGGCCCCGGCGGCGGTCCAGACGGCGGCCACGAACACGGCCCCGGCGGCGGTCCAGACGGCGGCCACGAACACGGCCCCGGCGGCGGTCCAGACGGCGGCCACGAACACGGCCCCGGCGGCGGTCCAGACGGCGGCCACGAACACGGCCCACATCGCAGCCCACATCGCAGCCCACATCGCAGTCCAAACCGCAGCCCATCCCGAAGCCCATCCCGAAGCCCACACCGCAGCCCACACCGCAGTCCATCAGGCGCCCACGACCACGGTCCATCAGGCGGTAACGGAACTCACACTCACGGCCCGCACCGCAGTCCACACCGCAGCCCGCACCGCAGCCCGCACCGTAGTCCACACCGCAGTCCCAATTACGAACACACTCACTTCCACGTCCACCTCCCAGGAGGCGGGGTCCAGATGGTGGCTCCTCCATTCAACACTGGTGGCGGATGGGAAGCTCACTTGCACGAAACCCCTGACGCCTTGACTCCAAGAACGCCACATTCTCACCGTTCTCATCATTCTCACCACTCTCACGGCTCACCTCACTCGCATGGCCACGCGACCTCCCCATCGCACCGCAGTAAAGGCAAGAAACACACAAAGCCTAAACGCCGACGTTACTGAGGAGATCGCTTAAACACGAACTGAGTCCAACAGCAGTGCCGACCTGTTACTGGAGATATTCTTGTAACAGCTTTTTATATTTGAATATTTAGGTGCTTTTTATTAACTGTTTTTATACGTCACAAGTTCTGCGAACTTTTAGACGTTCTTTTAGATGGCACATTCCAGCTACCGTAGTTTTAGTTTTTTTTTAAGATATCGACTTTTACAGCATTTTTATAAGTAAAACATTTTGCAGCGCATGTAAGAGAAAAGTGTTGCTTGTAAGTAGATTATTTGTTTACAATTAGACCCATTTAATGATCATGAGCATCGACGACAATCGTCTTTTTCTCGGTTTCATTCGTTTCTTGTAGCGCTTTTGCAAGCCTGAATAAATCGTGAAACTTATTTTCGTTGATTCCTTCAATATTTTATTCAGTAGATGCTTTTCCTGCTGTAGAATACTTTCAAAGCGAAGAGCTCCAATTTGATTTTGAGGGAGGGGAGGTGGTACACTTATAAATATGAAATGTTGACATTTTTAAATTCTGTCGATGAATGTTACGGTATCCTCGCTGTCAATCGTGTTTCAAGTTGCAGAAAAAGTTATCGGCGTCGTTAACAAATACTTGCCTAACGTAGGGAACGTGTATCATTTTACTCCTATGTACTTTTAAAAGTAAATGTGCATTTGAAGTTTACTTATTCTAATTTTCAAGTCCTTCATTCTAGATTTTAAGTCCTTCATTCTGGATGAAATGAAATCCCCAAATTTGGACGAATAATAAGTGTTAGTAGTACTGTTTTATGTGCTTTGGTAGGCCTACTAGTCTCGTCCCTACACTAAGGTAAACGCAATGTTTAGCCAATTCCGAGAGATAAATGTCTTGATTCAAGAAACCCATAATATTACACGGGAATTGATTTACTAGAAGCACCATTTGAAAAATACTTACATCAGAGAATTTAATCAAGGGAGAATCTTATCGGATTTACAAGAAAGTAACTTTATTGGCAGATAAACAAAATTAGTTCAGGCTAAAGCGCTCATGCCTGGAAAACATTTACAAGCATAATTAGAAATAAACAGAATAAAGGGCTTGGTACAAACTGTTGTTTCACAGACCTATACAAAAGCTTTTGATTTAACTAATGGGGATTTACTTCTGTATACAATGATTAAGGCAGACATAAATGGCAAAAATGTATCGGGTTATTAGTAGCTTATATTGCAGTACAGAATCATGTGTATCTTTAAATTCAAATCTGACACCATGGTTCACCACCACGAGTGGAGTTAGACAAGGGGAAAACCTATCAACTACAATAATTGCAATCTACGTTAATGGTTTGATCTTTGAGCTAAATTAGCATGAAAAAAAAAACAATATCAAGACAAATGAAAGTTTGAACCTAACTGGTCTTCTAAAAGCCCCGTTTACACTGGACGGCGTCCTTCCCGAACGAATAATAAGTGTTAGTAGAACTGTTCAATATGTGTTTTGGTACTGGTTTTAACATGTCTAACATTTGGTTTAATTATAGCATATATATAAACCAGTACCAAAACACATATTGAACAGTTCTACTAACACTTAT